TTTGTACATTTGGGTTATTGAGTAAGAAGATGTCTTGTGAAATTAAATTCAAACATTCTCCTATCAACTTTTTAGGTCACCTCTTCATTTATCTGTTAATACAAAGTGCCATCAGCATTTCAGTGTAGATAATGCACCATGCAAACAAGTTAACCAGGAAAAAGAGAAAAGGCTTCGATCATGAACACCGTCATCGCACAGAGAAAGATCCAGAGACTGTACAGCATACACACAGTTCAGGCACACACATTAGAACAAGTGTGACATTACAACTAACACTGTCACAAATTAAACATTCTATGTTGGTGAATTTACATGAAAAATTAAAAGATATTTACCAGGTAAACGTCTTTACTTGAATGAGAAAATGCTGTAAAACTGGGTTCAACCAGCTCAGAGCTAGAGATGAGTGTATAGATATAAAAACAACCAGGAACTAGGAGAGGAAAACTGCAATAGCTTTCATTTTACTCTATTTCACAGACAAGAACTTGGGTAGGTAAACATAAAAGAAAAACAAGTCACACCTCTGCTCAACAGTGTCCAACACAGCCTCATCTCTGTAGATCCGCTGCACAAATATATCATCAGTGGCACACACAACAAAGTCGCACCACTGCATGCCAGCGATTAGGACTTGCCCCTGGACCTGCCAGTGGTATGCATGGCTTTGCCTTAGCTGGTGTTTGCCATGCTCCATTATGAGGTATGTGCAGTCTACGTAGCTTTGCACATTGGGACACTTCACTTCAACCACACCAAAGCACGGTCTCTCCAGGCTATCATACACCTGCCCATCAGGTGAGGCTCCGAGCCAAGGAGCGTCAAGGAGAATAACCAATCCACATTTAGTAACATTCAAATTTTTCTAAGTTGCGTCATCCTTTGATGCTCCAGTCTCCAGGTCCAGCCCTCTCGTCATTTGTTGCGTTTGTCTTGCACCTCGGATCATTCTTCCTGCCAGGTTTTCCGATGTTCTCCCCTCTCTTACATGGCTCTGAAGTGGGAAGCAGTCACTCTCTCCTTCCTCAGGACATGCCACTCAGGTGCTGCACTCTGGTCGCTTGTTGATGACTGAATAAGGTGAGACTGTTGCCAGGTTACACCCATTGATGAGAACTGGAGCAGTTCCTGGCTAGTCGGTACACGGTGACACGCTGTGGGTGGAAGGTGGTCGTCTTCTGGTGGCAGTTGAGGAAAAGGAGGGGCATCTTTATTGTCTGGGCCAATTCCAGCATGATGGGCTTGAGGGTTTAGCGTTGAGGGGACATGATGTCCATGTTGACCATTAGTTTTTCTGGTTAAGAAGAGCTTGCTACTCTAAAAATGACTGAAGATCACACTTTTAATCTGTTATAATTTGTCATGGTGTCATAAAATTAGAGCTGACACACCTAATCAATTAATCTGTTATTAAAATAGCTGACAACTAATTTAGTCATTGATTATTTGCTTTATGATCATGTTTTACTGTAAGCAGTTTACTCCCAGATAGCAGACATGCTTGTTACAGTATACTATTATGTACTACTAAAACATATGTAGAGAGAGTGGAAATTGGAAATTTCCATTTGCACTTTCAATGTGTAATGGACTTTTGATAAAAGGTACAGACAGCAGTTTATTTTATTTTTGTAAAGATCCTGCCCGTGTGTGTGTGTGTGTGTGTGTGTGTGTGTGTGTGCTCTGTCTTCTCCATCCCCAGTGAGTCGTGGAGGATGGCTGCTTATACTGAGCCAGGATCCTCTGGAGGTTTCTTCCTGTTAAAAGGGAGTTTTCCTCTCCACTGTCGCTAAATGCTTGTTTGGCATGAGGATTGCTGTAAAGACTCTGACACTAGTCAGTGACTTGATGCAACCTGCTGGGTTCCTTATACAGCAAACGTTTTACTGATTGGCTTAATGACCTGACCTGTATTGTATAATAACTATATTTTCTCAAATATTATAATAAAATAAAACTCTGCAGGGATCATTTTGAGCTGAGTGGCGCAGAGCTCTGATCGTTGATGCGCTCCAGACAGATGTGTCCTGAGCACGGCCACAGTAACATTCTCAAAGTGTCGCCACCTCAAAAACAAATTTAACACGTGATCGTTTATGCCGGCTCATATCCTTTCATGTTTTCTGTCTTTTACCTGTGTCTGATGCGTTTTGCTGCTGCAGAGCGGAGCGCATCACCTGTTTTGTCCTCCGGTGACTGCACTAAACCGGTGTGGCCGGCACGCACTCCGCTGTTTTAGCGGTCGGTAGATCTTTTAGAACTGCAGTTCAAAGGTAACTCATGAGGTGAATATATATGAACCCAGGTAGCAGTTTTTCTTTAGGACTGAGAGGAGATGCAGGAAGATAATAAACAGACAGGACAGAAAAATAGTCAAATAAAAACAAGTTAGTTTTTGTACCTGCTGGTTGCAACAAACAGACACCATTGAAGGTAATCAGAAGTGAGGAACAGAAACTCTGAGAGGCTGCAGGCGCATCAGTGAGTTTGCGGCCGCTGCGCAGGGGGAGGGGGGAGGGCTGAAGCAGGGGGAGGGGGGAGAGGGCTGAAGCAGGGGAACAGTAAAGATGCAAAAACTACCACTGTTGAAAGAAATGTGTGTTAACTTGAAAATGTGGGCGCATCCTTAAGATGATGACTTCAAATGGAAATGGTGTTCCCTCGCCCGGTCGCGGGTCGCTGGAGCCCCCCTCTGGAGCCAGGCCTGGAGGTGGGGCATGTTGGCGAGCGCCTAGTGGCCGGGCTTTCACCCATGGAGCCCGGCCAGGCTTTTTTAAATAATCTCCCATCTTCCAATCATCTCCAAAACTTTAGAGAAAAACATTTCAAAACACACACACACACACACACACACATGCACACACACACCTTTCTTGCAATAGCCTCTTTGGATAGTTTCAATCTGGTTTTCAGCCCCACCACGGTACAGAAACAACCCTCATCATAATCATCAATGACCTTCTCATTGCTGCTGATTCTGGCTTGATTTCCGTCATACTCCTCGATCTGTGTGTGGCTTCGACACCGTTTCTCACCCCATCCTCCTCAATAGACTTTCTTCTCTAGGTATCTCTCACACTCCCCTCAGCTGGTTTCAGTCGTATCTCATTGGCCACATTCAGTACATTCAGGTAGTTTTCTTCATGACCATCCCAAGTCACCTCAGGTGTACGCCAGGCATAGGCGACCCCCCCCCCCCAAAAAAAAACCAAATTGAGCAAATGAACATATTTAACAGTGATATATTGTCCAATGAAAGCAGAGCACAAGCAAAAAAATGAAACCTGCCAAACATGTTCACGTCAAGATGTTCCAACCGTAAATCCTGTTGTAAAATAAACCTCTTAGAAATGAGTCCTTCTCCTGTACAACTCGTCTGTGAACATTGTTCTGAAACGTGTCAGTAGGGAACCAACATCCCAGTGACTGGAAATGAGTCCTGTTGTAATACCACCTCTGAACACGTGCTCCACAGTCAACCTGTAATCGATGGTCTTTCCTCTTTATTGTTAAAGGTTCCAGAAATGTTGTAGAACTTTATCTTTTCGAATTTCCCTAATTTTTTCAACACATCTACATTAGCCTCTTTTATAAATGAATGCCTTGTGAGGTCATCTCTTTGGGGGAAAGCTCTGGTGCTCCTGTTTCAGGAAAAAGAGGTTTGTTGAAGAAAATGGCAGGATGTGGAGTTGTACTCTGCATCATCTACTGATGTGCTGACATCTTGCCTCTGATCAACTGGGTATTCAGTTAACTTGCTCATGATGGAGGTCCATCCTGCAAGTTGCAAAACAGCAGGAGACAGCCACTTTCTTTACGTGCCCCCCAAAAATTACTCTCTGAAATTTTAGCCCCCCCCCCAAATGAAATGGGATTTTCACCATCCATCCACCCTTATTATTATTATCATCCGTTCTTTCGTAATCCGTTGTTGAATTGTGATCGGCAGAAGCTTTTCCGGTTCGTGCCTCACCTTTTTTTACAGCAGTGGCCCAAAACGATCTCCTAACACATGGATGTTCTGCTTCCAGATCACGTGACGTGTGATGCACGTGAATGAAGATCGGCTTTAGAGCTGGGATGTTTGTTCTCACGGTGCTCTCAGGGCCTCGTTCCGATGCCCACACAGTAAAAAATGCAAATGACGACTTTAGTCATTGACAGTGCCAGTCTGCCCCTCTCTGCAGGTTAAGAGTCTGGGTGTCATCCTCGAGAGTTCACCGTCTTTCCATGCCCACATCAATAACATAACTCGGTCAGCCTAGTTCCATCTTTGATCCATGAATCGTCTTCGCTCCTCCCTGACTCCTCATGCTGCAGCCATTCTTGGCCACAGCCTTGTCACTTCCCATCTTGACTACTGTAGTTCACTTCTTTTGGGTCTCCCCAATAAACTCATTCATAAACTGCAACTGGTCCAGAATTCAGCAGGTTTCCACTGGAACCCCTTCCTTTTTTCACATCACCCCAGTTCTTCAGCAGCTCCACAGGCTTCCAGTTTGAGGTCCACCTTCAAGATGGTCCTCCCTTGGGCATTGCACCCATGGGGGATAATGAGGTTAAACACTGACACTTTTCCTGCAGTTTTGCTCAAAAATGTTACTATCAGTCTGGTCTCCCCCCCCCACCCCCACCCCCCCACGCCCCCCACCCCCCACCCCATTTGCTAATTTAAACCCGTACCTTTGTGCACCTGTGTTACGTTAATATCCATTCACATAACGTAGTTCAGCACTTTAGAGAGGGAGCGAGACGCCTGTCATCCGGTTCTGGAGCTCATGCGGGCTTCTGTGAGCTGGATCCGACCCAGAAACCAGCTCCACTGGCTCACTGGTGTTTTTAAAAGCCACACATCCTCTCCTGGTGGCTGCTTGACAGAATGGACCCAGAGGCATAATTAGCTTGTTTTGTGAATTTCAAGCATGCTGTGTCATCTTAGCAGGCACACGTTAGCATGACCTGGCTAACAGGGATGGGCAAAATAACAGCAGAGAAACTTCATTCGATTTATTTATTTATTTTTCAGACCTGTAGCATTACTGGACTTACATTTTGGTGAAATGGTTTCACATAACATCACTTGATGTCTTAACCATGAAACGGAGAATCACACTTAAAATCAAATACCTCCTCCTCTAGAGGTATGCTGAGCCAGCAAACTTATTTCTGACAGCAGTCTGAGGTGAACCTGGGCTCCACAGGCTGTTCACACCTGCTGGGCCTTTCTGTGTTTAGGATACAGTCACGCACATCTCTTCTGATGGAAGGTTTTGTTGAAAGGTACAGAAGGGAAATGACCCCCAATAAAAAAGAATGTTTTTCTAAATTTTAAGCTGTTTTGCATCAGCCTTCAGTCTGATGTGTAAATCACCATTTACCAATAAAAGTGTTAAAAGAAAGACGTGTCTGAGGAGAAGGCCCCGGCCAGTCTGAACTCCTCCTTCATCAGCACACAGAAGAGCCTCTGAGGCAGAGCTTTGGAGTATGGAGCTGGTCGAGGAACATACGTTCGCAGAATGATCTCCCGGCCTGCCGGAGAAGGGAAATCTGATGTTTTCCCGCTTTCACCAGCTTTCTTTCTTTCAGGCTCCAGATCATCATCGCCTGGTACCAAGAGGGCTGCCTGAAGAACAGGAGGTAATGGTCCCAGAGATCAGCAAAAGAGGTGAATCGCAGATCTGACAGAACACAACTCAAATAAAAAGAAGGTGGTGTGTGTTTGTGTGTGTGTAGCAGCTTTACCCGCTGAGCATTTAAAAACAGCCTGTGGATAATCCTGCCAGTAAGACCCTGACCAGCTCCCGTCACCACCACCTCTGGTTCCTCCAGCAGGGAGCTCACAAACCTGAAACAAAACAAACACCGTCCTCATGCAAGTGAGGATTCAAACCCACACACGCTTAAACATATAAAGCAGCTCTGAATCTCATTCCTAAGCAGTTTCAGTCCAGCTCACACCTTCCCGCATCTAACCAACACGACTTAACACGGGGTACTTGGAGGAGTTTCTGCTCCTTGAACAACAGACAGCCGGACTCTCCCATATTCCAGTCAGAACTGACAAAGCTCCTCGGATGAGAAGCAAAACGTCTTTAAGAAACCAGAGAAGTCCAGTTGTCTTCATCTGAACCCTTCGGATCACCATGACCTGGATGACTGAGAACCTTCACCAGCACGTAGTTGTGGGCATTCCCTTTGTGAGTGGTCATTTCCATGGCGGTAAAACATTCGGGATTTTGTGTCAAAACAATGTAACAGGAGAGCCAGAGTCACAAAGGCGTGTCTGTATGGGTTCCTTCACTGCTGATGGGCTGCTCAGGGAAGACATTTATGTATGTGGGTGGAGTCTAGGCGCGTCTCAGTTCCTGACCCGGGTAATACTCAGCAGGCTTAAGGGTTTCGGACCCGTGAGATGGAGAGCTGGTCTCGAGTGATTTCTGGTCCTAGCTGGAGAGATCACGAGTTTGGTATTGGACAGGACATAGTCAGACTTAAAACCACACAGAACTAAGAAAATATAGATTGAACAAACTAAGTAAATATGTCACAGGTGTGGCCTGTCAGGGGGCTGACTAGACCGCAGTAATAATGTACAGGTGTGCCTTAGACGGTTCTCTGAAGACACCTGGATGCTAAGCCACTAAACTAACAGCCAAGATTCTAACACTAAATCATTTTAATACTAGAAGCTTTGTTGGGACTCTGAATCAATGCTAATGCTAAACAATAGCTAAGCTACAGCATAAACACTCACTTGTGGCTAACCCGAGTCTCAGCGGCTACCAGACGTGGCCGAGACCCCGGTGCTTGTCTAACCTGCAGCCGCAGCGCTGCTACGGGTCAGAGTACCGGCTATGCTGACTGTGCTGTTTCAGCCATCGGAAACGACACATTCCAGCTGCTGTTGCATGCTTTAGAGCTGAAGATGGCGCCAGACTGAATTTTTTAGGCTGAATTTTGAGCTTTAAAATAAAATGCAAACATAGTGACTAGACGTGTCTACTACACTGTTAGACACTCATTTATACAGTTCACCAGCAAAAACAGTTGACTTAGGCGTGACTTGCTCTTTAAGTAAAACTGTATGAAACGTACTTCTTCAGCTCTTCTGTGGCTTCTCCAGGTTCCCCTTTATCAACAGCAAACTTGTCCTTGAGCGACCTTGCTCTGGTGATGACGGTCTCCATCACCACCAGCTGGTTAATAAAATCCTGCAACAAAGCAGTCCAGTTTACAGTTTATAAAACTCATGTGCATTGTAGGCATGTTCAACGTGAGGCCCGGGCTTCAGGAAACACTTCTCTACTACCACAGCCCTTCTGAAACTCACCGGTGCCATTTTCCTAGATCTTACCAAAGCATGTCATCTAGCGGATCACTTTCTAGATCTTCACTTTTGTGGTTTAATTTTTGTCTTCTAAGGGTAGCCAGTAGCTGATAATGAAGGCATAGACAAAGGGATTCCTCAAGGTTCGTCACTAGGACCTTTATTATTTCCTATTTTTATCAACGACCTTCTATTGAGCTGCTTAAACTGGGACATTCATCTCTATGCTGAAGATGCTATTATTTATTGTGCTAAATCAAAAACTACAGATCTAGAAACTGTTCTACAACACGATTTTAATAGTGTGGTTATCGACAAACAAGCTTATTTTAAATAAACCCAAATCGTACTCCATGCTGTTCTGTAGAAAAACTACGAGTAACTCCAGAAATGATTTTAATTTTTGTATTTTAGATGCATCTCTGCTGAAACCAGTAGAAACATTTAAATACCTAGGTGTTTGGTTGCAAACGGAAACTACGTCAGTGCTAGGGGCTGCAAGACTTAATTTTTTTTAAGTCAACTTTGACTAGTCGTTGATGACGTCACACACCTGAAGCGGGGGGGTTGGCTCGCTGGAGTTTTTGACAATTAAAACTGCGCCCACGCCTCTTTTAACAACGGTAGTTTCTGCATCTTGCTTCTGTCCTGTCTCTGTTTATGATCTTCCTGCATCTCCTCTCAATCCTAAAGAGAAACTGCTTCCTGGCTTCATATATATTCACCTTATGAGTTACCTTTGAACTGCAGTTCTAAAAGATCTACCGACCGCAAAAATAGCGGAGTGCTCGCCGGCCGCACCGGTGCGGTGAAGTTATTGGAGGACAAAACAGGTGATGCGCCCCGCTCCACAGCAGCGAAACGCATCAGGCACAAATAAAAGACAGAAAACATCAAAGGAAATGAGCCGACATGAACGATCGCGTGTTAAATCTGTTTTTGAGGTGGTGACACCTGATTTGATAACATTACTGATGCCGTGCTCAGGAGGAGCTTATTCTCATCCCAGATGCTTCACACAAGGCTGCTGACACCTGAATAAAACCTTGTAATGTTATTAATGTTTGTGGACAGTTTTGGGCACAGATCAGTGACATCACTCACTGCCGAAGCATGGCGATATGCTGACGTCTTAGCAAAGTCCTGAATGGGCTGACTGAGTGGAGACACAACAGCTGAAAGGACTGAGCCATCTTATTTCCCGGTCAATTTTTCCACTCCCTGAAGTTTCCCTGAAGTGGAAACAGTTATTTTTGGGGCAACAAGACCTTTAAAGGGACAATTTGGGCCCTCATCTTGAAAGGTTTGGACACCCCTGGAGTACAAGATACACAGTGGCTTGAGTTAGAATAATGCAGCCCACTGCAGAACAAACATGTAGTTACGGTAGTTAGATAAAAGGCTATTCTGGTTTACATCTAACCCTCGTCTGTTCTCTTTTTGACTCATATTTATCAAACCACAAACCATCCTTCCAATTTTAATTCAAAAACATGTAAACACTAATGAAGAAAACAGTTTCAGATGAACAGAACTATTGTGGCTGAGCAGCACTGACCTCCAACTTCTTGTAGTCGTAGCTGCCTGAGTGCAGCAGCAAGTTGGCTTGAGTTATTGCTTGCTGAATATTTTTTTCAACTGATGGGATCTTCTCCACCGACTCTGATAGAAACAAACAGGTCATGTTTTAAAAAAGAGCAACAGAAACGTGACCAGAGCTGGACGAACACTAATCAGCGCTGCCTGACAAAGAAACACGATAATTATTTCTCTTTATTCAACGTGTGCATTAGTTATTCATCATTATAACATGTACAAAATAAACTACACTAAAGATTCGCCTTCAACGGGTAATTCAGCCATCTTGTGTCCATTAGGACTGATGAGCTAACTGCTAGTTTAAGACCAGCCCAGACCAAAGACAGCTCCTCCATCCCAAACTCCACCGTAGTCCATGTTACATTAGGAACTTTTCCGCTACATCATTGTGTTAGCTAACTTTCTGCTAGAGCCAAATCCTATATTCAATTCAATTCAAGTTTTTTTATAAAGCACCAAATCACGACACGAGTCGTCTCAAGGCACTTCACACAGTAAACATTCCAATCCAGGTCAGGTCATTAAGCCAATCAGGAAAAAGTTTCCTACATAAGGAACCCAGCAGGTTGCATCGAGTCACTGACTAGTGTCTTTACAGCGATCCTCATACTAAGCAAGCATGCAGCGACAGTGGAGAGGAAAACTCCCTTTTAACAGGAAGAAACCACCAGAGGATCCTGGCTCAGTATAAGCAGCCATCCTTTCGAGGAACATGACAATTTTATTAGTTCTCCATGACATCCAGCTGCTACTGGTTCCTACCTTCATGCTAGGAAGGAACACTGAATTGTTATATAAAATTGATCTAATAAATAGAGCCTAGCGCGTCAATAGAAAAAGGGAATTTAGGCCTCAAATCATTTACAGAGCTGTAAATGTGTTGCTTTTCTTCCTAGCAGTCATCAGATCTCATTTAGGCTTGTTTAGCAGACCTCTGGCTAAAACGTACCTATGTCCAAGGTAGGATACAATGTGTTTCCTTTATTTAATGACAGCTACTCTTCATCAGATCAGGTCACTGAACTATTTCAAGTCAGCAGGAGTAACTGTCTTCCAGTCCAAGGTAGTTTCATATCTATCTGCTGCCCTTCCCTACATGCCTGTGGATAATACGCCAACTTCACTTCCCTGTGTTTTGTGCACAATGATGCTGAATGATGGTAAACGTCAACGCTGCTTTATAGAGAAGGGAACACCCCTTTCCAACCAAGCTAGCATGGTACAATTGTGTTTAGGCATGAATAGAATCTGAAAGCATGTGTTGGCTGAATGAGGAAATCTACAAAGGGCTTTCAGAGTGGTATAGACAGTTATCTGGATACAGGTCTCATTCAATAAAAGATGGAAATCAGGTTCATTTTCACGGTTAGACTCACCCTCCTGCTGTAGCTTCAGAAGGGCAGCATGGAGCAAACAAGGAAGTAGGTGACGAGCAAGATCTCCAGGTTTCTGCATTGTCAAATAGTGCAAAATCTGTGGAGCAAAAGAAAAAAACAGTCCTCTGTTTATCAGGACACCGCTGCTTTTCCAACACACAGTTTTAGATTCAGACTAAACTTAAAATACAGAGCCATCTAGTCCTTCCACACCAACCAACCAATCACATCAGTCCTGAGCCAGAACTGCCTGACTGGGCTCAGCTGAATCCAAGCTATCTCATAGAGCTCCGGGAGTTGACGTCACTTCTCCCGGCATTCAACAGTTCAAATCAAAACGGCGCCATATTGGCAGGCAGAAGGCCGCAGCTGGACTATTTGTTATTGTCAGAAAACTCAATCAAACAGGAAATATGGTAGATTCCTGTTGTGCCCCAGGATGCAGAACAGACACGGACGACATAAGGAATGAGCCATCTAAGGGATTCCCCAAGATCCGGAGCGCCGCAAACGTTGGATCATTGTAATAAAACGTGCTAGTGACCGGGCTAAAATGAAGCTGTGGGATCCCGAGAGTAAAGGTTTTCACTTATGCAGCGACCGCTTCATATCAGGTACTTAAACCAACGTTTCCTCAACTGTGTATGGTGTTTATTTTAAATGCTTTTATTACGATTCTTAGTGGGCTTCCTAAACTTATTTTGGCGTGGCTTTTTCTGTCTTATTACTCATAGCAACAAGTAAACGTCACGTAAAACGTTGCCTCGTGAGTTCTGCGTATTGCCGTTGTTGAGGGTCTGCCCTCATGAGAAAATTACTATGCAGTAATTTCTCCAAAAGACTGTGCCAAAAACGCCCTGGAGCGTAAAGAAATAAGGCATATTAAAAATCTGCGCCAGCAACAACTTCATTTCCCATGATTCCCTGCACCCAGAAGCAACGTGATGACGTCACGGAAGTGACGCCTAACCCCGGAAGCTACACAATGGTTGATCAATCGTCAGATCACACATAAAAAGCACTTTGGATTGCTATCGTCGGTCTCAGCGAGACAGATCTCAGACAGATCCTGAGACGCTCCTGTCTGACTTATTTATTTTATTCACGGAAAACAATCAGACTAGTGATTTCTCTTTGCGTTCAGTTTATACATTCAAACAGCACAGCACTCTATTTAAACTAGTTACATGTAAATCTGTTATTTGTCCATCCATCCATCCATTTTCATCTGCTTATCCGGAGTCGGGTTACGGGGGCAGCAGCCTAAGTCGAGAGGCCCAGACTTCCCTCTCCCCAGCCACTTGGGCCAGCTCCTCCGGGGGAATCCCAAGGAGTTCCCCGGCCACGTCCGGTAAGAAGTCCGCGCCGACAGCTTCTGGCGTTTTTAAAAAGTATCCCAGGGGCACGGTAAGGGTCGGAGATGTTTAGTCTATTTAATTTATGACTATATAAAATGATTTCTTTGGTTTTAAAGTGTGAAGTAAACTCCGACGAAGTAAAATCCAAGCCGTTCCCGTTCATTTTGTTTACCTTTGTTGCCTGCCAACATGGCGTCTACTCTCTGAGAGTCACGTGACGTCCGGAGCTCTATAGTGGAAGTATAAAGATTTAAATACAGATTTTAAAATGTTCGTTTTTTCTTTACAGAGTGACTAGGAGTAAATAGGGATGTATATAGTTAACCGGTTAATAGCTGTTGATGTTGTAACCGGGTAAAATAGTTTTGCTCGTTTAACTGCTTCAAGAATCCTGCTTAAGAATCCCGATAAGTCCACCTTGATTGGCTGAATTTTAACAACCATCCCTCATAAACTTTCATGGTTAGGTGTTTCTGCAATGACTTGAGTGATCATTGTGTTGCTGCCACTAGCACTAACATACCTTTCTATTCTATTGACAATTTATTTAAAGTAACCACTTACACATCATTACCACCATTTTGGAACATCCTCCATTAAAGCTGTTGAATTCTTACAGAAAGCTTTTAATGAGGTCCAACCAACACTTGTGCTGTTAAAATTGGTCCTCAGTGCCGACAAGACTAATGTTGTTTTCAAACTCTAAGTATGCCCTCTGTGACCACTTGAGGGAAACATCATGGAGGTGGTCCACACAAACAAATACCTTGCTGTCGATGACTCCCTCTCCTTGAAGCCCCATGTAGATAATCTTGTGAAGAAACTCAAACTCCGACTGGGTTTCCTTTTTCAAAACAAACTGTGTTTTCCTTTTGAGGCAGAAGAACGACTAGTGACTGCAACATTTCTGTCTATTGTGGATTATGGAGACCTCTTGTATATGAATGCCTCAGCACAGTTTCTTGGTAAGATGGATGTGGTTTATCATGCCTCGCTGAGGTTTCTTACTAACTGTAGACCACTGACCCACCACTGTTAATTGTATTCTCCAGTGGGATGGTCTTCTTTATCCACCAGGAGGTTGGGACATTGGTACACTTTCATTTATAAGGCCATGCTTGGATTACTACCCACCTAGATCTGTAACTTAGTCTCATGGAGAAGTGTAACTTCTCACAGTCTGAGTACAAATGATCCATTGTTACTTTAATTACCTTCATATCCATTATTTCATTCATATCTTGTCATGTCTAATCATTAGTTTAGGGAAATAGAAATGAATTCATTTTTATAAACTACATACTTGACTCTGTCTGAAATAATACGAAGTGTGTTTATGGTCCCTGAATAAGTAAAGTAACTAAATCTTCTGATTAAACATTCAAAGATCAACCAGATTGATATTTCACATTTAAATGGAATAATCACATCTTATTGGTCATTTGTTAAAAATATGTAGTGTATCCTTAACGCTACACTTGTATCAATCGGGGTGTTTCATTTTGAAAACTTGACTGGCCTGCCTCTTCTGTGCTGATTTGACTTCTTGACAGAATTGATGCAGCTCACTCACGGCTTGTGAAAAAATTAGAGCTCACGCCGAAACGATCGCTGCACGGCGTGAGCCTTCGTGGCGCTTCGCAGCTGATGTGGCCGAGAGCATAGAGCCTTTCCGCGTCTGGTGTGTTCCGGGCGTAAGCCTCACATCGAAGCGCTGAGCCAGGCAGAACACGGCGCAGCAAACTGAACCGAGTCCAGCAACAACAGGTCAGTTGGCCATGATGCTCCTGCTTGTGTCGGACTCCTAATTTGTCTAGTAAAATAAAGAAATGTCAGTAATTTCTGGGGGGTTGGTTTCCAGTTACCCGGCTATTAACCGTTAAGGGACGTCAATAACCGGTTAAAGAAATTTTGAAAAATGTGCATCCCCAGGAGTAAAAGACCTTGTAAGACCTTAAATCAGCTGACTAGTGATGAGCCCAATAGCTGAGCTCCGAACTGTTTCGTTTCCAAACATTCGCAGGTTGTTCTATAAAACCTGTATTTGATCCGTTTGTCATTTATTGGATGTGAGGTTTGAAATAGCTAGCTGGTGAGAATGCAAACAGATCAGAGCATCTCCTGCTGTCCACATATCACATTTGGAACTAGGACAGCAGGTTTGGGCCAGACACATTTGTATAACTTATTAGGGTGGAATATATGTATACCAGCAGCAGGGTGAGGGGACCTGAGGACCAGGCCTGAGAATCAACCGTTATCTGGATGAATCAAACATGTTTGTTGTTCATTACCTTTTCTGCTTCCTTGGTGTCATCAAACAGTCTCCTCTGACGGCGTGCAGGTGTAACCCTGGAGATCTCCCAGGCCTCAGCCCACATATTACCGGGAATTTTCATTCTGGCGCTAAGCTCTCCAGTCAGGACTTTGTTGCCCTTTTCATCCACTTCATATTTCTCTTCGTAGTCCCTGGGAGAGTACCAGCGCACAAAGTCTTCCAGAACACAGCCCGGGTTAGCTGCCTGAAAAGACACAAGAGATGCTAAAGTGCATAACGTAATAGCCTACTATCTGTTCTCTCTAAAGAATCGATCCACAATCTACAGTTATTCCAGAGCTCAGCTCCTCGTGAAGTCTCCAGAACTCTGTCCACATACCACATCCCTCCTGTTTTACAGCAGCTGGACTGGCTCTCGTTAAAAGTTCACACCACCTTTAAAACCCTCATCCTGACAGTCGAGAACATTCACATCCTTGTTCTTCCATATCTCAGTGAACTATTGCAGATGTGGATGTCTGTCCATTCTGATTCTTCTCCTCCATCCATCGTTTTTTGCCCCCTGTCCTTTTGTCCATGATTGAGTCCAGAGCATTCACTTGCTCCGCCCCTCACATCTAAATTTCTCTTCTTCCCTACATCCACCGCAGACTCCAACAGTATTCTCAAAAGTGCTTTGTCTTTCTCACTCTCAACTCACCTGTTTTTATTGTTTTCCTAGTTACTTTTTTTTAAAATAATTTACTGTCAATAGCTGTTTTTTGTTGCTTTTATTTAATTTAGTTTGTATCTGAGGTTATGGTGAATGTCCTGAATGGACCTAGAGATCTGATGTGTTATTATAGAAAAGCAATGCAGTAAATATGAAGTAAAAACTGTTTTAAATACAGAAGTAAGTTAACGCAAACACTGCTGACCACAGATAAAGACCTGAGGTTCAGACAAGACACCCGTGTTTGTTGTCTTTATTTGTTCTAGTGACCAAAGGGCAGGGACTAAGACTTTGATTGAGTTACAGCTCTGGCTATGAAGACAAGTCTCTGAAAACCTGAGTGTGTTGAATCTACCAGCTAAATCACATTAATCAGTATGACGATGCACATACCTTTCTATGTGAGCTGCGACATAGGAGATATGTTTATGCAGCCAATGTTCAAATGCAATGACTAAATCTAACCAGCGTTAGTCAGTTGTCTTTGTTCATTCATGGCAATGAGCATTAGGTTTTAAACTACTCAGCTGGCAAGGTGAGGGATCTAAATTCATATCCATTTTAAGTCCCGCCTACTAACCTAAAGACCTAGGGTTTCTCAATGCCAAGGAACCTTGCCTTGATGTCTTGGCCCCACCCCGGTTGCCTAGGAGATATGTCATCAGGAGCCACCAAGACGTGTTCCAATCAGTTCCAGTGTTCATGTTCTACCGAGGCGTGTGTTCTCCGTTTGTTAGCCGTTTAGCTAGCTGAGCAAGGATACACTGGAGGTGTCTTGTAGCCTAGCCTTGGTCAAAAATTACCCACAATACACCACGGTATTTTCAAAAAGATGGCGGATCAGAAGCCGGCAGCTACTTTGGGGACAATTTTCAAGTTTGAAAGTAAGTCAACTAATTTAAAATGTTTTTTTTTTTTAGATCCAAAGAAGTTTTCTATGGTTGGTTAGTTGCTTAGTAGTTGCAGCTTCGGTGGCTAGCGGGTAGTAACTCACTTATAAATGTAATTTACTAAACATACAGTTGTGGTCAGAAGTTTACATACACTTGTAAAAAATATAATATAATGGCTCTACTGAGTGTCCCGTTATTTCTAAAACTCTGATTTTTCTCTGATAGAGTGATTGGAACAGATACTTCTTTGTCACAAAAAACATTCATGAAGTTTGGTTCTTTAATATCTTTATTATGGGTTAACAGAGAAAAGTGATCACATTTGCTTTGTCACAAATATACATACAGCAGTGCTAATATTTGGTTACATGTCCCTTAGCCATTTTCACTTCAATCAGGCGCTTTTGGTAGCCATCCACAAGCTTCTGGTTGAATCTTTGACCACTCCTCTTGACAGAATTGGTGAAGTTCAGTTACATTTGATGGCTTTCTGACATGGACTTGTTTCTTCAGCACTGTCCACATGTTTTCAATGGGGTTTAAGTCAGGACTTTGGGAAGGCCATTCTAAAACCCTTATTCTAGCCTGATTTAGCCATTCCTTTACCACTTTTGATGTGTGTTTGGGGTCATTGTCCTGTTGGAACACCCAACTGCGCCCAAGACCCAACCTTCGTGCTGATGATTTTAGGTTATGTTGAAGAATGTGAAGGTAATCCTCCTTCTTCATTATCCCATTTACTCTCTGTAAAGCACCAGTTCCATTGGCAGCAAAACAGCCCCACAGCATAATATTCCCACCACCATGCTTGACTGTAGGCATGGTGTTCTTGGGGTTAAAGACCTCACCTTTTCTCCTCCAAACATATTGCTGGGCATTGTGGCCAAAAAGCTTGATTTTTGTTTCGTTTGACCACAGAACTTTCCTCCAGAAGGTCTTATCTTTGTCCATGTGATCAGCAGCAAACTTCAGTCGAGCCTTAAGGTGCCGCTTTTGGAGCAAGGGCTTCCTTCTTGCACGGCAGCCTCTCAGTCCATGGAGATGCAAAACACGTTTGACTGTGGACAATGACACCTGTGTTCCAGCAGCTTCTAATTCTTGGCAGATCTGCTTTTTGGTGATTCTTGGTTCACTCTTTACCCTCCTGACCAATTTTCTCTCAGCAGCAGGTGATAGCTTGCGTTTTCTTCCTGATCTTGGCAGTGATGAAACAGTGCCATGCACCTTATACTTACAAACAATTGTTTGCACTGTTGCTCTTGGGACCTGCAGCTGCTTTGAAATGGCCCCAAGTGACTTTCCTGACTTGTTCAAGTCAATAATTCGCTTTTTCAGATCCATGCTGAGCTCCTTTGACTTTCCCATTGTAGCGTTTGTGGGCATTTGTATCCAATGAGCCCTATTTACCTGGCCTAAGAGAAGTCACCAGCTGTAGTCACTCATAATCACTCACAAGAAGTTAAGAGGCCATGCTATGAAGCTCAGTTCACTGACACGTTTCTAAGTCACCAAAATTGCTAGTTCATGTTGCTGTATGTATATTTGTGACCCAGCAAATGTGATCACTGTTCTCTGTTAACCCATAATAAAGACATTAAAGAACCAAACTTCATGAATGTTTTTTGTGACAAAGAAGTATCTGTTCCAATCACTCTATCAGAGAAAAATCAGAGTTTTAGAAATAACGGGACACTCAGTAGAGCCATTATATCATATTTTTTACAAGTGTATGTAAACTTCTGACCACAACTGTATATACAATTTAAAAAGTAAAAGCCTCGTTATATATTAATATTGAAACTAATACATATAAAATATAACGTTATGTCACGTGACCGCCTTGGAAGCCGCAGTCACGTGATGCAACTCTGTTCCATTTAACTGTTTTCTTTGGCCAAGGAAGGACAGTGTCCTCGCAAGGCAAGGCGCCTTGACATTGAGAAACACCCCTAATCTGCTCACCTGACCAATCATGGTGTTTTCAAGCATGAAACTACTTCTTCCAGCAAAACATACCATAAACAAAGCACTTCATGGTTAAACTACAGATGTCTAATGCATTTTCTTTTTTCCAAGATAGAAACATGCAAGGATGCACCGGCTCTTAGGTTTCTGTCTTTGTATTACGTTTTTATACTTTTGGTATGGATGTTATGGTGTGCATATGAATGTGTGTGTGACATAAAACACATCTACACTCACTGATGGGTGGGCTTCCTATGCCATGTAGATGTCCCACTGGACTACATGAAATCTCTCAGCAAGCCCCTGGACACAGTGAGAGCCCCGGGCTCCCCCAGGATTGTGGCTGGCCCACAAAAACGCCGAACATGGCAGAGAGGGGACAGAAACCAGTTTGCAGATGAAGCGTGCTGACTGCCTCACAGACACCTGCTTCTCCAGGGTTCCTACAGGTTTCTTCAAGTTAACTTTAAAGGGGCATTATGGAAGTTTGACAGCCAAAACATGTATAGGAATAATAAATGTCTTCTTCATACGTTCTCCTGCAATGCCCTGGTCCTGTAGAATGAGTCCTGGCATTTTTACTGTGATTGCCTGTTTTTCTGTAAAATCACAGAAAAAGAGAGATGCTCGGGTCGAGCAGGCTGCTTCATGCACGTTCACGCTCAGGCATAGCCCTCCGAACCGTTCTTTGAACGTTGTTTCAGCTGTCATCAAGGATATAAATGTTACAGATACGAAATATGTCACTTGCGCTATAGCTCGGCTACTAAGACGATGGACTTTCGTGCAGAAGACCCGGGTTCCATTCTAGTTGAGAACATAGTTTATTTTGAGTTTCTTTTTTACATTAATGGTATATTTTTTTACAGTAAGATGCCCAAATTTTTATTTGAGACTCGCCGAACGGCATTGAATTCACAGATAAAAAAGATGTGGGTTCAACTTTCATTTTGGAACAATTTTTCAAGCAAGGGAAGGGAATGATCTGAGCATGCAGGAGGACTGACCCATCATAAACCTTTGTCGGCTGTGCTGAAGAGAAAGGTACAGAACCAAATTATTTAATTAATTAGCTGCGCGTTCTCTTGTCCTCTGTCCTCCGGGTTAGGATTAGTGCCTTTTTTTTCCCTCCACCTGAACCAATCCTCATGTAACCCTCTTATCTCTATTAAGGTAGCGCGACTCAGGGTTACGAATGACCACAGCCACCAATTCTTGTCATGTGTCTTGCCCATGTATGTCTGATCTCTGAATTGTGTGTACTGAAACTCTAATTTCTTTCTGGGATTAATAAAGTATCTTTGATTTGAATTGAATTGAATCACCAATAAAACAAAATATATGTTAATTGAGTTTGGCTAACACAGAGGAGAACCATCCTCACCACTCATCAATAGACACATTTGGACTGTAGGAACATGTTGTAGTTCCTAGAACTAGCGCGCAATCAGATAGGAACTAGGAAACCTTTCCTAGATCCTAGTTCCTAGAATCCTTTTAGCTCCCACTCTGAGGCAGGGACTCAATTGACAAGTTTCAGCTAACACTATAGCCTTCCTCTGCTCTGCTCTGAGGATGGCTAAGGTGTTAGCCAAATCGTTGTCAGCTTAAACGGTAAAAACAAATCTTTACTATGCTGTGTTTAGAAAAGAACCAAGCAGTGGAAATTATTTAGAGGTCTCAGATTGTCCCTCTGCCCAGTTTAAGTCTTTTTTTGCAAGAGGATTGACAGCCTCATACAAGTAAAACTGTCAATTCCAAAGTATTTTCTTCAGTTAAAAAGAAGTTAAACATACACATGATTGTCTTACCTTAAAGGACTCCATGTCAGAGACCAGACATGCACTCTGCATTCGAGCACGTAGATGAGAACCTTCAGCTGATGTCCCCAGTTTGGCCAGAACTTCTGACTGCTCCTCCAACTGATCCTCTGTCATGGGAGCAGGTTCCTGACGATGACCCAAAAAGCAGAATATTATACCAAGTGGTTAAATCACTTAACATATTTCTTATCACTTTTTATTTTCTTCTCGATAGAGAGATAAAATCTACAGGATTAGGAAGTGTTAAGGTGATGTAATGTTGTACCTGGGTGACAGGAACGTAGAGCGGCTCCATGGAGTTCAAAAGGGTAAGGTCGTTGTAGGGGTGCAGCCGGCCTTCAGCTTTGCCTTTACCGCTATCAGGTCCTCTCTCAGAACGCAAAGACTCGGTGTCCTCCTGGTCACTGAGACACTCAAAAAACTCGTCCTCACTGTCACTCCACGAGTCCCAAGACTTTGCCTGATTTGAGCTGGTTGCAGCTGCTGATGAAGGTCCTTGTCCACAGGATGCCTTGTGCTCTCTCTGTCGGCTACCCCCCATTCCACTGGGAGCCTCATCTCTTCTCCTCCTCCTCTCAATACAGCAGTTCAGCATCTGGTGAGCAACAAACCCCTCTTTCAGACAAAAAGGCATTCAGTAGAGCAATGGTTTTGAGTGATTCAGTCATCAGACTGACTAACATAGCAAACATCAATCCATTACTGTCCGCTTATCCAGGGTCAAGTCGCAGGTACAGCAGTCTAAGCAGAGAGGCACAGACTTCCATCTCCCCAGCCACTTGGGCCAGCTTCTCTGGGGGAATCCCAAGGCGTTCCCTGGTCAGCTGAGTAACATAGTCCCTCCAGAGTGTTCTGGGTCTTCCCTCAGATCTCCTCCCGGTTGGACAAGGCCAGAAAACCTCACCAGAAAAACATCCAGGAGGCATCCTAGCCAGACGCCTAAGCTCAACTTGATGTGGAGGAGCAGCAAGTCTACTCCACGCCCCTCCCAGATGACTGAGCTTCTCACTCTATCTCTAAGGGGGAGTCCAGACACATTGTAAGGAAGACTGATTCCGGCCGCTTGTATGCGCGATCTCACTCTTTTGGTCACTACCCAAAGCTCGTGACCACAGGTGAGGGAAGGAACGTTGATCGATCGGTAAATTAAGAGCTTCGCCTTCAGGCCCAGCTCTCTCTTCAGCACGACAGACTGAAACAACATGTGCATCACTACTGACACAGCACTAATCCACTTAACAATACCACACTTTATCTTTCCCTCACTCATGAACGAGACCCCAAGCTACCTTGAGGCAGGAACTTTTCCCTGGCCTAAAGAAAGCATTCTATCCTTTTCTGACTCAAGACCAGTCTCGGATTTAGAAGAGCTAATTGTCATCCCAGCTGCTTCACATTCGACTGCGAAGCCCTCCAGCAAAAGCTAGAGATCACAGTCTGATGAAGCCAACAGGACCACATCATCTGCCAAGAGACCTGATCTTAAGGCCACCAAAACGGATCCTCTCAACACCTTGGCTGCACCTAGAAATCCTGTCCATAAAAGCTGTGAACCGAATCAGCGAAAAAGGGCAGCCTTGGGGGAGCTCAACTCTCACTGAAAACATGCCCTACTTACTTACCTAACAGCCCGTATAGAAGGGTCCTGTATCCATACTTCCAAAGTAGGAACATAGACTCCAGACTTACTTCTAACGTGCTTCTTCTAAATCACGTGTCCCCAAAAGTGGCCCACGGAGCATTTTTATGTGGCCCGCGAGATAAATATCAAAAATATGTTAAAACTGACCCGCTGGCAGATTTTACTGCAAAGACTACAACTCCCATGATGCTTTGCGGCGTTGGCGCGTAGCCGAAGCGCCCCCTCCTTTGTGTTTTTCCAGCATCTGCTGCCGGTGTCTGCAGCTCCGCTGTCTCGGACAAACTAAACACTCCTCTCACTCAGCGCCGAGTTCACTCAGCTATTTTCTGACGTTGAAGCCCAGAAACGGAGATTCTAGCCGCTCAGTAATGTGTTCACGACTGAAAGAGAAAGTTTTCCAACTAACGTCCAGACAGAGCTGATATAACTCCAGTGAGCAGCGACACGCTCAAACCAGCTCTGTGGCTGCTGTAGTTGTTATTTTTCCTCCCCGACACACAACAACGTGGTCAAGCTGCTCAGACATGTTCATCAGCACAAACCTATGTGAGCACCTGTTGTCATCTAATGTTGTCATTATTATGATGAAGATGAACAAAACAACAGGAGTCTCCTCCTCAGCTCACATCAACCCCATGATGCAGGTATCTGGCTGGAACAGGTGAGCATCACAGTAAACCAGTGGAGCAAACTGAGCTTTAAATATGTTGGTTTGATGCTCTTTTTCTGCTCCAAAACATGAAAGTTAACAGGTGAGATGTTGCATTTTCATTTAAGATAAAATGATATTTTTATTTTGTTGTTGGCCCGTGAGAAAAGATTTAAAGATTTAAAAGATTTATAAAATGCTGATTAAACCACAAGTAATGAATACCACTGATGCCTTTTATCTAAAACTGACTTGCTCGTGTGTAATTTGGTTATTCCACATTCAGTGTTAATGCAGAAATATGTTTGTTTCCAAATTTAAAGGTTCTAAATTTCATATATGTTGATAAAGAAAACGTGCAAATTTGCCGTCACTTTTTCAAAAAAAAAAAAAAAAAATCAAGTATGGCCCTCGACTCCGTCCCAGAGTTTCATTTCGGCCGAGTGTGAGTTTGAGTTTGACACCCCTGACGTAGATGATCCATTTTGGATTCAAAATGGCAAATTTCGCAAAAAGGTGAGGGATTCTCATGTCTGCTAATAAATAGGGCCATATTTCATGAAATTTTAGACACACTCTGCAGAGAAAACTCATTTTGCCTGTTTGTATCAGATATCTTTTTCTTTCCGTCACTACCCAAAGCTTGTAACATAGATGAGATTTAGAACATAGACTGACCAATAAATTGAGAGCTTTGTTTTTTGGCTCAACTCTCTTGAAAGACTACAATGCATCACTGTAATAGTATATAAAAATGATTGTACTGAGACACACACACACACACACACACACACACACACACACACACACACACACACACACACACACACACACACACACACACACACACACACACACCATCAACATATGCAAAAGTCAACCTTGACCCACAATGATGATGAAGCTGAAAAAAACCCGAGGCCCCCTTCTGGCTGTCTCTGGTACAGGCCCCAGCCTCTCCACTTATTCCAGTAGACCAGACTGAATCATTAGTGACTCTAGTTACTTCTGAGAATATCTTTACTGCCTTAGTGATGCGTGACCTTAAAACATCAGAAAAAGGGTCTGAAATTACAAAGAAGTAAAAGGTGATCGACCCCCATATACGATAAAGTATGATCAGAAGAACCTGCAACTTCTGATGTAGAAGACAGCAGCGAAGATCAGGGGGTCCACCAGCCAACCTGCACAAAAGACAAAATATGGACATCAATTATTTACTATTGACACTACTACAGAAATATACACTTGCCATAGCTTGCAGTAGGGCTGGACAATCTAGAATAAAAAGCATATTGACTTGTGTAACAGAATGAAATGACTGTTTTCCACCTAAAAGTCACCCCCCCCCCAGCAAGAACTAATCTGCATGAGATATTGCTCAAGGTGTCATGCATCTGCTTCTAAACTGTTTCTTATTTTCCAGCTCAAGAGTAGAAGAAGATGAACTCTTTCTTTTTAATAAATCAGAAGAACTCTATTTTTAATGAGCTAATCAAACAAAGTTTTAGTCAATAATAAAATGTGAACCAATCTGTGAAATGACAATGTTATGATCAGTGGTTTTAAATAAATAATTTAACTTTAAACTAGCTGCACTAGACATTCTCATCCACGTAATGCTTAAAGTCACATGACAGATTTCCTTTTTCTGATCCAATCAGAACCTTCCAGATCTGACGCGAGGCGTGGTTTTGTTGGTGCTTGGTAACTCCCCTCTTGTTGTCCTTTTTTTTTATTCGCCCGTAAATCAAAACATCTAAATTATAAAACTATGCCCACGTTATCCTAACTTCAGTTCAAGCGTTCTAGAGAAGTTGTCGGAGTGGCCAATCCGTAACTTTCCTCTTCAGCCGAAAGAATCTAACGACAAGCTGGATAAAATCTGTTGCTGTTCCAACTGCTGCAACGGTTCCTTTCAGAATAAAAGCTGAACCATCACGACCCCTTTTTGGGTCTTGCTAGATGCCAACAAACTGTTGTGACGTGGGAGTATCTCAAAGACTGGACTGGTTCTACAGGCTTCGGCTCCAGAGAGGTCCAAGCTGGACCTCTACACCTCCTGATCTAGACGGGGACTTCCGCCAAGGGTACGTAGACCAACAGAACGGCGTCTCAATGTGTGTTATAATCTCCAGACCAAAGCTTAGAGCGAAGACATCATCTTCACTCCCATCAGAAGTAATAGTTTCTCAGGATTTGCTGGTTCTGAACAACATTTCACACACCATCCATCTTGTCTCATTCACACTGAGATCCATTCATCACACAGAGTGTTAAGTGTTTAAAGTTAGTCTAGTTTTAAATTGTTTAGTAATAAATCTTCTTAACTTTAAAACTTGACTCTCTTCCTTTCGTCTCTGAGTTAATACGAAGTGGTTACATAATCCCTGCAATAAAAAGTTCCAATCTTCTGGTTTAAATTATCCACAGATCCATAAAGTTAATCTCACATTTCCTATGGAATCTCACATTTTATGGTTCATTAAATAATATGTAAATTTAATTGTTACACTTGTTAGAATCATCTTGTAAACGGTAAATTATACTGAAAAAGAAATAAAATCTGAGCAGAAAAACACTGGTTAGGACAGGAACTGGTACACCTCATTACAATGGTTTCTGATCAGTGCACTTGCTTCTGACTTCTCCCAATTTCCTCCAATTTTAATGTGTACGACTGTCATGTTTTTACAGGAGTATCTTTTGCAAATTTATTTATTGCATGTCGTATTTTAATAATTTTCTTTCTGCTGCAGCTTCTGGGCCGGGTCTTTGTTATTTAAATAAATTAATTAAATTAACAACAAATAAATGATAAATAATAAAGATATCCTAAAGAGTTCAACTTCAAATCCTCTGAGAAAACTGTGTAAGCTTACCCGTAGATCAGGTAGTTGTTCTCCCAGCGGTAACGCAACTCCAGGACAAACTCCTGCCACAGGTGAGCAACAGCTGGCAGGCCACCATAGCTGTAGTTGACCATACAGAGACCTAGGGCCAGGCGGTAGGTCAGACTGTCTGTGGGGGCAGACTTTAGCTGGAGAACCAGATTCTAACAAGGAGGGATAAGATCAAACAGAAATTCTTCATGTTAAATACAAAAACACACTGAGAACATAACAGTCAACTACAAAACAATTAGTTATGTACACACTCACACACAAAGAATGAACTAGTAGTAGCTAGTGATGTGTCGGTCGCGAACGAACCGGCTCTAAGAGCCGGCTCTTTGAAGTGAACGACGGGAGCCGGCTCGTCATTGGGAGCCGTCCCCTCCCCTCCCCCCTCCCCCCCCCACCTTGGTGAAAGCTACAGGCGATTGGTCAGCATGTGTAACTGCGTGTCCAGACTGTCCACACACAGAGCAGTAGGGGCGGGGAAGAGGGAGGATCAGACTCAGACACACAGCAGAGCACATCTGGGAGGAGGGAGACGAGAGGGAATGAGGAGGAGCAAAAAGGCGAGTGAGAGAGAGGAGAGCGCGACGAAGACGGTGAGAAAATGAGCGCCAGCAGTCGGAAAGTGGGGATTTCTTAAAGTGTTCAGTTATTAAATCCATCGAATGATAAATATTTGATATATTGCTTTTTTACATTAGTAAATTATTTTACATATAGTTTAGCATTATTTTGGTTATAAATGTACTCTACGCAACAGAAAATCTGAGGAGCCACTTGGGAGCCGAAAGAGCCGGCTCTTTTTGGTGAGCTGAGCCAAAAGAACCGGCTCTCTAAAAAGAGCCGTAATTCCCATCACTAGTAGTAGTACTAAATCTACAAGACATTCAGTGACCAAACATTCTGGTTGTAATTGGCCTTAGAGAGTACACATGAGAGAACGTACATCGCAGAGTTTCTCCTCCGATGTCTTTGAGGAATTTGTTGGCATCTTACTTTGACTGTCTGATGACTTCTCCACAGCAGCGTCTGGGAAGAGATACTAAGAGGACAAAAATGGCATGGTTACAACATTTTTGGGTTACAACATGGCTTTCTCTGCATCAGGGAGAGTCGTGGATACATTGCCTTTCATTGTATTTAATTAGGACATGACAGACCACATACAACATTGCATATCAAGTCGACAGGCAGAGAGACAAAAAAAAATTACATTAAAAACAGAAACAAATACACTACCGGTCAAAAGTTTTAGAACGCCCCGATTTTTCCAGTTTTTTATTGGAAATGATGCAGTTTAATGTCACGTTGCACTCTGAAATAAAAGCATTGCACAAATAAGCAATTGGAGTAAAAAAAAACATGGAATCAATTTATAGACCAAAATGCATTATAAACCTTTGACTCATCAGAACAGAAGTTCCCATAAATGTGCAGCATTTGTAGGTTACTTTGCTTTCACTCTTCTGTCCAGTTCATCCCATTTAAGCGCTGCCTTTGACACAGTGGACCACAACATTCTTTTAAACCGGTTACAACACATCGGCCTCTCTGGTGCTGTCTATAAATGGTTTACTTCATATCTCACAGACAGGACTTTTATGGTAAGTCTAGATACCTTCTGTTCCAAGACCCGAGAGATTACTTGTGGTGTGCCCCAGGGTTCGATTTTAGGCCCGGTGCTTTTTAATCTGTATATGCTTCCACTTGGTGGCGTCATCGGACGACACAGAGTGCAATTTCACAGTTATGCAGATGATACACAGTTGTACATCTCTGTGTCTCCCGATGGCGCAAGACCATTGGATGCCCTTTTTAATGGTATTTGGGATATTGAATCCTGGCTGTCAGAAAACTTTCTCCAGCTTAACCGGGACAAAACCGAAGTTTTAGTTAGCTACAGTCACTAACTCTTAATCCGTCTTCTCAAGTGAAGAACTTGGGCGTGATTTTTGACTCTGAGCTAACTTTTATTCCCCACGTTAAGAATATTACAAAAATTGGTTTTATCACCTGAAAAACATCGCCAGGGTCTGCCCCTTTCTCTCTCTGGCTGATACAGAGACGCTGATGCATGCTTTTATCACCAGTAGAATTGATTACTGTAATGCCCTGTTTTCTGGTCTTCCCAAAAAGAGTACCTCAGGTTTAATACTCCAACAAAATTCAGCAGCTCGTGTCCTGACTAAGACCAGGAGGCAGGAGCACATTACACCACTCTTAAACAGGCTGCAGTGGCTTCCTGTATGTTTTAGGATTGATTTTAAGGTTCTTTTAATGGTTTTTAAATGTCTTAATGGTCTTGGGCCTTCGTATCTCTCAGAACTGCTTCATAAATACGAGCCTTCGCGGTCCCTGCGCTCCTCTGGCAGCCATCTCCTCATCATTCCAAAATTCGGGACACACTCCCAAGGCGAGGCATCCTTCCAGTTTTATGGCCCTCGCCTCTGGAACAGTCTCCAGACGACCTCAGAGCCGTAGAGAGTGTTCTTGTTTTTAAGGCCAGGCTCAAGACTCACCTTTTAAGTATAGCTTTTAAGTGATTTTGATCTATTTTAGCCAGTTTTTACCTTTTTATTTATGTATGTATTTATGTATGTATTTTTAACATGTATTTTATCAGTGTTTTATTACTTACTACTCTTAGTTAAATAACACATATTTTTCTTACATATTTATTTTAACTTGTAATAATTATTAGTTTTAACCAGTCTTAATACTTTGTGGTACAATATTTTATAAATGTAATTATATGTTTCTACTTGGTCATCTTTTATCACTGTGTTTTATTTAGATTTTTATTTATCAGCTGTTTATGTTTAATTTGTTTCTTAACTGTTATCTTAGTCTCATTAGTAAACTAGTGTTTCCTCTGTGGGGGCCGGCTGCCCCGGGGGCAGCGGTGGACTGTGGCGGCCGGGGTGCTTCATTTGCCTTCTCTTACCAAGGCTATTGCTGCCAGTCTTGGTGCTCCCGGTGCAGTTGGCTCCTTTGATGGCGTTTTCGTCTTCTTTATATACATTTCATCTGCACTCAGCCAGCTGCCCTTTCTTTATTGTGTGTGTGTGTGTGTGTGTGTGCATGTGTGTGTGTGCGCGTGCGTGCGTGCGGGGTTTTGGATCTGCTTGGGACGGGATTGAGGGTGGGAGGAGGGGAAACAAAGGGGATCTCTTATGTGAATCTGTGTGGGAGGGGTGGGAAACCGACTGCTGTCTGGTTGTTTTTAATATTGTAAAGCACTTTGAGCTGCATTTGCATGAAAAGTGCTTCATAAATAAATTTTGATTTGATTTGATCCCAAACCAGCTCGATGGGGTTCAAGTCTGGAGACTGTGCTGGCAACTCCATGTTTTCAAGCTTACCATCTTGTTCTTTTTTCCTGAGGTAGTTCTGGGATAGCTTGGACTTATGTTTTGGGTCATTATCTTGCTGTAGGATGAACCCCTGACACACTAGGCGCATACCAGAGGGTACTGCATGGCGCTGGAGAATGCTGCGGTAGCCGTTTTGGTTCAGGGTGCCTCTCACTCTGTACAAGTCACCGAACCTGGATCCTGCAAAACAGCCCCAGACCATCACACTTCCTCCTCCATGTTTGAAAGTTGATGCCACTCACTGTGGAACCATCCTCCCACCTACTCCACGGCTAACTAAGATCCTGCGTGATGAACCGAAGATTTGAAATTTGGATTCATCAGTCCATAATACCTTCTTCCAGTCTTCAGTAGTCCAATGGCAGTATTTCAAGGCCCAGGCAAGCCTCTTTCTCTTATTCTGACATCTTAGCAGTGGCGTTCTTGCTGCAACTCGTCCTGTCACACCTGCAGCTCGAAGTCTTCTCTTCACAGTTGAAACTGAGACTTGCTTACCACCAACACTATTAAGCTGTGCTTGAAGCTGTCGTCCCGTGAGCCATCACACAAACTTGTCCTCTGATGCAGATGTGGTTTTGGGTCTGCCAGACCTCTTCCTGTCAGAGTTTGCCCCAGTTTCTGAGTGCCTTTTGATAATGAAGGATACTGTACTCACTGACACCTTGAGTCTTTCTTTGCAATTTCTCTGTAGGAAAGACCTACATATAAGTTATGATGGCCTGTCTCTCTTCCATTGTTAATTGCCTTTTTCTCACCATTTTTGTAGCAACACTCTATTACCTGCAGTACAATACTGTTCAACTGATGCTCACGAGGGTATGGCACCACAGTATGTTCCATCACTGCTTTCATGCAGACAGAGGGGGGTGTAAGTAATCCAGAAAAGTTGGAACACCTGTGGAAATTAGTGGCACCATCTTTCAAGGCTTGATCAACCTCCATTGCTGCAGAACAGCTGTGTTCCCTGAGAAAGGCCTTTTAGTATAATTCTGAAATGTACATAATTTTTCAGTTTTGAGCGACCTTACCTTTTGTTTAACCTCTGGCAGTTCACCACTTAACTTTGGACCATTTCAAGTAATTCATTGGTCTTGGATGACTTAAACTGCAACAAATAACTGGAAAAATTGGGGCGTTTTAAAACTTTTGACCGGTAGTGTAAGACATGGTCTCCTTCCCATTCTCTCATGTCAGCTGAACGGTTGCTCTTCTGGGTTGTTAGAACTAAGTGCAAGATCAAGCTTTTGCAGTTTCAGCTCCTAATGTGGAAGAATCTGCCTGTTGGAATCCCGACTAGGAAGGCTTCCTCATTGTCGGGTTTTGAAAAAACTCATCTGTTTTCAGTCGCTATTAATTCAGTGTGAGTGTATATGTTTTGTACCGTATCTCTTCTTTCTTTTACTTTGAGCCTCTTATCGTAACTTATCCTCAGCATTGTAGCAAACTGCTGTTTTTTTTTTACTGTATTTGTTATTGGCTTGTTAAAAACTTAGTTGAATTTTTCTGCTGTTGTAAAGTGCTAAATGAATAAAGTTGACTTGACTTTGGCAGAGGTATAACTTTTATTCCAGGCAGACAGAACAATGTTTTTCATAATACATTGATTTTATGGGTGCGGGGACTGGAGCTACAGAAAACATCCATCCATTTTTCTCCACTTCAGGGCATTTGTTCTTCTAACATTAGCTGTTCAACTATCAAAATGCACGTTTTAGGGTCAAGGTCAACTTCATTTATATAGCACCTCATTGTTGCTCACGCAACCTAAAGTGCTGAACAGAAGACAGCCATGAATAAGTAGGACATATTAAAAATTATGGCATCAAAAACAAAATATAAAAAAACTATGAGTAAAAAGATAAGAATAAACAATGAAGTGGCAAGTTGAGCATAAACAACAATAAAACCACAGTAACTAGAAAAAAAAGAATAGATGTACAATTAAACCATTACTAAAAGCTGCCTTAAGTTATAGAAGCCAGACTGGACAACTCCACTCACTTGTCCATCGAGTTTGAATGAACAATCAATAAAGACCCCAAGATTTTTTACCTAAGGCTTTAGAAATACTGACAAGGGACCAAGGGCACTCACAGCCCCATCTACTAGGTCTTGACTGCCAGAGTCTAAACTCTCAGTTTTGAGGTTAAGTTTCATAAAGTTGATAGACATCCACTGCTTCACGTCCGTTAAGTAGTCCATTATTTCATTTAATTTAATTTAATTCATTTATAAAGCCCCTTCTGCGACCAATGCAGACGCCCAAGGTGCTGAACACAACACAATAAAAACATAAAACCATCAGAATAAAATATAACAATGGTAAAAAAGGGAGGTTAAACCCGCACGTTTTCTCTTCCAAAATTTTATTCATCACCTCAAATGATTCATTCTGCTTTAATTTAAAATAATCTCTTAAATGTATCAATCTTCCCAATAAAATATTTGTTTAAATAATTTGCAGTTTCAACTGAATCAGTTAAAAATCCCTTTTTTGTCTCCAAAAAAGAATATAATTTAAATGTTTCCATAGTTGTTTGTTTTCGACTTTTCCTTTTCATTAACCAAAGAATTCCTCCACTCCTAATAAAACTGCCAATCCAACTCACATTTAGATGTTATTCTAGTCTGTTTAGCTCTCTCTTTCTCTTGTTTATTCTTTCTCTTTTTGTTCCCAAATTTTAAATTTTGGGTCCCCTTCAGTTAAATTAGTGAGCTATTTTACTTCATTCACGAGGTTTTGTAACCTTTCTTTATTTCTTCCAACTCCTCTTCTAATCCTTACTTTCTAGACTGCATTTCACAAGGGAAATTAAGCCAGTTATGGGCCTGGTGGTGGATGGTGTAGCAGGTAGCAGGGACTGGTGGTGCGTAGTTTATCTGGTAGCTGGGCCTGAAGGTATAACCAAGTAGCTATGTGGATGACGTAGACTGGCTTAATGGTGGATGGTGTAGTCAGGTAGCTGTGATAGCTTAGGCCTATAGTGGTAGCTGGTATCCTGGGCTGGGCGCGGCCACAGGGCCTGAAATGTTCTGGTCATCAGTCACCTCTTTTCCCCGACTCTTCGCTGCCTTTTAAGTGCCTGGAGATTTAAAGTCCAGCTCTTCTAATAGTTTTGTGAAGTGTAATCCACTCATTTCAAAATAGATTGGGGGCTACTGAGCATCACTGGTTTACAGTGTTTAAAACAGTTTCCAGCCCAAATTGGGAGTCTTGACAGGTGTGATCCTGATCCTGAGGAAGAGCTGTCAATGAAGGCTTTCACAACACATCTCCTGCTCTCCTGGTTCCGACTCCACCGAGTGTGACCTCTTGTCTTCTGCGCATGCGGGCCACTTTAAGGACGTAAAGCGATCACATTGGAGACGGTTTGATTCATAAGGTGAAAAGCCACAAACAAAAAATCGCATTTACTCAAAAAATTGAAATTGTTCATCAAGTCCTGCAGTGTGACCAAAGCCCAATATTTTCCTTTGATTATGGCACACATTCACTTCTGTAATGTCAGACCCTGCAAAAACTGACCATAATGCTTTATTTTTCTGTTTTTAATTAATTAATTAATTAATTTTTACCATACTGCCTTTTGCTCAGTAAGGACAACATCTGGCATGTTGTTTGTTCTGCTCAAACTCACTGAATTAGGAAATTAGGTGTCTAGATCACAAATTATAATTTCAAATTTGTGTTTGATCAAATGTTTTCACGTCTACACTAATGAGGTTAAAAAAGGCCAAATCAACTGATATAAAACGTAAAACATACCAGGAGGATTGACTTGAGGATATCGATGTGAAGAGGAGACTCATCGATGTGCCGGTGCCGGTGAATGTGTTTCCGGGCGCTATGAACCATACTGGAGACGGACAGTTTTGGAAGAGGCACTGCAGCCACCGGCTCGGTTAGCTTGGATAAAGCTGAGCTGATGTCAGCAGCTTCTGGGGAGCAAAGTAAGGCAGTTAGACACAAATACTGTAAAACTGAGTAACAACAAACCCAAAGCATTACAGCTGAATGATTTTAGGAAAAGATTGATTTGCAATATTTCTAGGAGAAATTGCGATTTCAGTTCGAATCACAATTTTCTTCAAATCAAGGTTCAACACATCATAGGAAGCCAAGTCACTTCCGCACCATGGATCCCCGGAAGAACGAAAAAATGAATGCAAGTCAACGGGGCTAAAAACCCTATTTTCTAATCCGCTTTGCCTTACACCCTGTATCACACATACGTTGTACTGCAATTTAAACGAAAAAGATTGATGGGTGTTTTGACCACGTCAGTCACATACTTTGAGATTTATTAGCTTAAAAAAGTTTGGAATTGGCATGACTGCAAACTACAAATCGGCACGTCGCATATGTGACGTCACCACATAATCTCCTCTCCCCTAGCGTAGCTGCTACTTACTACATGACCAGATTTACGGTGGACCGTTCCTCCTGTGGGAAGTTTGCTGAACTTACAGCCCTTTTTCTCCGTGTCTGGTCCAATGATGTCACTTTCGTGAAGTGCATTTGTAGTCCTGGACTTATTTTCACACAAAACCTAAAATACCATTCCCCCTATTCGAAAACAAGCATGCTCTTGGTATCAAAATGTGTCTTTAAAATTCACAGACTTCAAATGTGAAATTCATGGCACAAAACAAGCGGAATTAGAAAATAGCATTTTTAGCCCCGTTGACTTGCGTTCATTTATTTTGTTCTTCCGGGGACCCCTGATGCGGAAGTAACTTAGGCTCCCTATTTACAATCTAGTTATATAAATCATACCATAAAAACATTAAAAGCAATTAAAATCCCATTAGTTGTCACACACACAGGTGTGCGTGCGAAATTTATTCTCCGCATTTGACCCATCCCCTGGGGAAGCGGTGAGCTGCAGACATAGCCACGCTCGGGAACCATTTGGTGGTTTAACCCCCCAATCCAACCCCTTAATGCTGGGTGTCATGCAGGGAGGCATTGGGTCCCATTTTTTCAAAGTCTTTGGTATGACCCGACCAGGAATCGAACCCCTGATCTCCCAGTCTCAGGGCGGACACTCTACCACTAGGCCACTGAGAAAGATAATGATTTATTATCTCCTGTAACGTTATGAAGTTCATTATTTTCAGCTCCACACAGCTGCCCCTGTACACAGTAACACCCGTGTAGAAAACGCCAAGGTCGGGTGTTCCTCAGACTGTTTACATTCCAGGAGAAGAGCCAGAAGGAGAAGAAGAACGCTTTTCAATAATCAAAGTACTTAATTTGTGATTAAAGCTAGTCGAAACAGATGTTGATCAATAATAATCAAGTGAATGATCTGTGGAATAAAGATGTCATGATTTATGTGTTTAATGAAAACAGGACTACTGCACAGACAGACTGACCCTCATCTCCATAGAAACGCATGACACATTGTTCCAACCAATCAGAGCCTTCGGCTGCCGCAAGAGAATCTGGCTTGTTGACTTAAAGTGTCCAATCCGCTTTACTAAAACTTATCAACAATTCAGAGATATAAAACAAGGCAACGCCATTTTAAGCTCAGTTCCATTTTGACTTCAGTTCTATTCACCGTCATCCCAAACAGAAGCACAGCCTGGCCAGATGTGTTTTCTTCTTTAAACTAAGAACTGTGAAGTTGGAGATTTTCGTCGTTTAACAACCAGACGACATCCTTTCAAAATAAGAGCACCTGCTGACGCTGCCGATTGTTACCTGGGTCGACCCTTCAGACGGGCTTTGAAACGCTGTGATCGCTGTTTCGACCAGCTCCAGCGCACATCCGAGGTCTTCAGACCTGGCATTTCCTGATCTACCTGGGAGGCCCCCACTGGATACGTACACGGCAAAATAGCAGCTCATGTCATCACTTTATAAGCCTCGTGATATCTAGTCATAACAATCAAAGACTACCAGATTCAATGACGTCAGCCTAAGGAGTCTGAACCAACCACACACACCCACACACACACACATCGAACATCACATCCATTTCCAAACAACACAGAGTTAGTCCTGATAGATTGTAGAATTTATAATAAAATTCTTAAACGCTCCCAACTCTCTTTTTTCTTGTCTCAAGGTCAATACAGAGTGTTAATTAAACTCCCTGATGATAAAAACAACCTATTCTTCTGATTATAACAAGTGATCTACTTACAGTATATTAAAATACAACTCTAGATCATTCATCACTCTATTTCTCTACACTCCCAATAATATCTTTTAACATTTTTAATGTGCTTCAGAAGCAACTTGTCATTTTTATCTAGAGGTGCTTTATAAAAATATGTTCTTTATCTTGTCCTTGTGGGCTGTGCCCGAGCGTCGGTGATGACGCCCGCCGTAAAACGAACATTTGACCGAATTGTGACCTTTACCCTCTTGCAATGTAACCTTCCCCTCACCCCCATCCTAACCTTAACCAGCTTGCACATGCAAAACTCTTATCGCTGACGCGCTCCAGACATCTGCGTCCTGAGCACGGCCACAGTAACATTATCAAATCAGGTGTCGCCACCTCAAAAACTAATTTAACACGTGATCGTTCATGTCGGCTCATTTCCTTTTATGTTTTCTGTCTTTTATTTGTACCTGATGCGTTTCGCTGCTGTGGAGCGGGACGCATCACCTTGTCCTCTGGTGACGCACCGATCACCGGTGTGGCCGGCGAGCACTCCGCTGTTTTTGCGGTCGGTAGATCTTTTAGAACTGCAGTTCAAAGGTAACTCATAAGGTGAATATATATGAACCCAGGTAGCAGTTTCTCTTTAGGATTGAGAGGAGATGCAGGAAGATAATAAACAGGCAGGACAGAAAAATAGTCAAATAAAAACAAGTTAGTTTTTGTACCTGGTGGTTGCAACAAACAGTCACCATTGAAGGTAATCAGAAGTGAGGAACAGAAAATGAAATAATTGTTTTAATGTTTAGAGCAGCAGGAACTCCGAGAGGCTGCAGGCGCATCAGTGAGTTTGCGGCCGCTGCGCAGGGGGAGGGGGGAGAGGGCTGAAGCAGGGGGAGGGGGGAGAGGGCTGAAGCAGAAACTACCGTTGTTAAAAGAAATGTGTTTAACTTTGAAATTGTGGGCGCAATTTTAATTGTCAAAAACTCCAGCTACCTGGCTTACCGGAAAATTAACGAGCTGTCGAGGAATATTGGCTCTTTCCCGGAGCTCAGGGATGGATTACACCGCGCTGTGAATGCACAGACTCATATAATTGTTGAGATGAGTCGTAAGCTTGGAACTTTGGCTGAGATTCATGCATTGGCACAAAAGGTGGATGCGATCAAGGAGCGAGTGGACAAATCAACTCGGATTGGGATAGATTAATTACGCCATTATTGGATTTTAGGACCAACGGAACTTTAAGACAGAGAATAAAATTATCTCTGTCTGGCCCCAAAACTATTTCTTATCTGAATCTGGTGCCTTTGAGCCTGTGAGGCTGAAACGAATAACGAATGTGATGTCTGAAGTCTGTTGCATATCTGTCTGAGGTGGGGTTTTTTTGCAGAGCAAAGCTGCCCTCCTGCTGGAGGGTAACTCTGAAGTGCCTTTTTTTCCCTCCACCTGAACCAATCCTCATTTAACCCTCTGATCTCTATTAAGGTAGTGCGACTCAGGGTTGCGAATGACTACAGTCACCAATTCTTGTAATGTGTCTATGCCTATGGATGTATGTCTGATCTCAGAATTGTGTGTACTGAAACTCTAATTTCCCTCTGGGATTAATAAAGTATCTTCGAATTTGAATTGAATTTGGCGCCACAAGGAGGCACAGAGAACCAAAAGGGCAGTCTCACAGTCCAAACAGGGACAGTGGACCAACTGGGAACATGTGGAACACAAAAAGATTTTTTGGAGGGATCTTTGGGAAATGGAAGGAAACTGAATCAGCTTCATCAGCCGAGCTACCTCTGTGATGTTCCCAGTCCCAAGAACTGCCATTAGTGATTTAATTTTTTGTGGTTCATCATACACAGAGCAAATAAAGCTTGTTTTTTTTTACCTTTGCTGACATGTTTTGACATCTAATGCCAGCTTTGTCAGAGCAATCGCCGATGTTGCTGCCGTCACTTTCGTTTAGCTGGGGGCAGCAGAGGACAAAATCGCCATCTCTGTTGATCACCAAGTCCCATGAGTGGTACTCCTTCATTCCTGTTCATTGTCCTGGGTCTATGTCTCCTGGGCCAGTTGCTGGCAGAAATGGCCCAATTGAACCGTGAGTCGGCAGGGAGGTGCAGCCTACAGATGGTGGGACTGCAATGGCAGGCAAAGTGGCAGACCAAAATCCTGCAGCAACTGGAGGCCCAGACCTGCAGAGGAATGCCGTGCCAATAGGCCTGCCCACCATTGTCCACCAGATGACATCAGAGGACGATCTGGATGCCTATCTCAAGATGTTTGAGGCAGACAAATGCATGCCAAAAGCTACCCGCCACGTCCAGAAGGTACAAGGAGCTCAGACGGGCCACCCTGGACCAGATGGGGTTTATGCAGGAGGACTACTCTCAGAGCTTCCAGGAGGCCGGGATGGGGAGGCAGGACCAGCCGTACTCCTTCTCGCAGCAGCTCCAGGACGCTGTATGGCAGTTGATCCACCCCAGGGAGTCAGCAGGGGAGAGAATCCTGCTTGACGCGCTGGTTTTTGAGCAATTCGTGGAGGCGCTGCCAAGCAGGACCATGGAGTGGTTCCGGTGCCACCGCCCCACAGATGTGCAGACTGGAGTGACCCTGACTGAGGACCATCTAGTGGCCCATGGATCCTTGAAGAACCTACCAGGGCAGCCAACCCAGCGCTGCACTGATGTCGACCCCTTGAAGTTGGGGAGATACCCAAAGGAACAGTGACGCAGCCGGACCTCCCCCAGCGGATGGAGGCTTCTGGCATGGAACCATCCCTCTGCTGCTGGAAGTGTGGCGAGGCGGGGCATGGGTGGCGAGCCTGCCCTGTACTGAAGACCGACAAAAGGACCTGGGTGAGGACACCGACCAGCTTGGGATGTCAGATTGCTGGTGAGGCATCGTGGCATGTGGCAGTGTGAAGCGGAGGGGCCTGTGGGAGCCCGCAGCGACACACCGGGCGCTTATCACTAATCAGCCAGAGGCTGATTATGAACGACGGTGCCATAGGAGGAAGAGAGACGGACCAGACGCGAGTCTGGAGAGGAGCGTTGCAGCTATGCTATTCCCTGAAACAGGTTGAAAAAATAAAGCTATCGATTGAGCAGAAACTGTTCAGTGTGTGTGTGTGTGTGTGGGTGTGTGTGTGTGGGTGCAGCAGGTAATTGCTACAGAAACACCCGTTTCCCTGAGGGTACCTGATTGTTCAGGAGAAAGTTACATAAACTCCTATTGCTGGGTGTCACCACATGCAGATGGGGGTCCGGAAGTAGCCGGCGCTGCACAAAACGCTATTTACTTTGGTGACTTCAAGTCTTGAATGTAGTGCACCACAAAGGACTTGATTTTAAAAAAACGTACTAAAGAAGACGGCAGAAGTGGATTAGTAATCTACGGCTTAAAACAGGGGCAGAAATGGACAATGCTGAAGTTTAAAGGCAATCACTTTCTAACAGGTAAGAGATTATTGACGGTGTTATTAAACAGTTGCTTAGAAACAGCCACAAAAATTACATGTCAACAGTATTATACTGTTTTCATGTGTCCTCACTGCAAATAGCTTTCAGAGTGCTAATGTTTATAGCAGTTAGCTTAGTGTTGTAACGTGGCGTTTATACCTTATTAAAATAAAAAAAACAACCAGAAATTTGGTCTTAAAAAGGCATAAAAAGTTAGTTACAAGTAAATCTTAGCACACACTCATCATTAGCATTAGCCATAGCATTATTATCATGTGTTAATGAAAAAAAAAAACAGCACAACTCACTTCTTACACAAGCAAAAACACCACGGTCGTCATTTATTAAGATTCTCCAGATCACTAAAACGTTAACCAACCTGACATACAATAGCTGTAGGCTTCCAGGCTTGTAAAAGGCTTTCGTTTGGTTTGTAGCATAATATGAGGAAAGAAGCAAAAGGTAGTTTGTTGCCATTCCCAGTGCTGGGTAAATCCTCCAAAGTGTAAGAAAAGTGCGACTTTTAAAACTTTTTGGGTCATAAATAAAAAGAAGATGTATTTTTTGCGATATCTTGTCTGTGCCAGCTCATTTAAAGCCTTAGTTCAACCGCTTTTATCCACTGCGCTGTGTTGTATCTCCGTGTTTTGTTGCCCTCATTTGAGTTTTGCACGGCTGCAGACGTCACGTGAAGAAAACCCAGCCTAAGACTCAATTTTCATTCAAGTTGGTTTAATTTTTAACACTGTGAAACATTATCATCAATCAAATAATAAATGGTACCTTTTCCTTCTTCTTCGGCGTATCCTCGTCCTAAAATATCTTCTACAGATTCCTTCCTGCAGCAAAGTTTAAAGAATTCTGTCACAAAGTCACCTACATGAGAGAAAAAATAAAAACAGGAAAAAAGTTCACAAGTATTAAATAACAAATCATCCGAAGGAGCACACAGATATAATTAATTCATAATGCAGAGACCATCAAGAGTATTCATTGATTTCTTCTGCCCACCTAACAATTGATGCCACTGTGCAAGTGCCGCTGGGGGGCTAGTGCTAGACAAACAAACCGCATTTGCAAATTGAAAAAGCATGCACAGCGTTGATTAAAACAAATCAACAAAAACACAATTAAAACTTTTATGCTTAATCAGTTACTCACGACTCACAGTGCTCAAGTACCATTTTCTCAAAGAACTTCTTTTACTCTTAGGTCATTATTTATATCACTGTTTTTGCATACCACCCAGCTCTGGTGGTCCACATTTGGATATGCATGCTGTTTGTGTCACGCTGCGGGTACGGGGGGGGGGGTTAGGACCCAAGATGCAGAACCAGGGAGACACGAGGCAGGAGTTGGAATAAACATAAAAAATCCTTTATTAGGAGTGGTTGTCCAAAAGTAAATCCAAAAGGGCAGGAAGCCAAAACCAAAAATCCAAAAATCCTAGTATAACCAAGAGACCTAGAGACAAAGTGCTCCCTTAAAGAGCAGACCTGGAGATATCCAAAAACCAAGAGACCAAGAGATTTCCTAAGAAATCCTAGAGATCAAGAGAGGGGGCGAGACAACGCTGACACAGACAATGGACCGACAAAATACTGAGACGCAGACAGGGTTATATACACAGGGACTGGGTGATCGGGAGACGAGGAGCAGGTGCGTGGGGAGAGAGAACTGAGGGGAGACTGGTGAGATCAATTACCTAAAAGGGAAGGGAAAAGCAGGCAGAGGGGATAAACCCTAACCTATGAATCTCTAAATAAATAAACCTAAAAGACTAAGGGCACAGGAGAACCAAAGATCAATAACTTAAGACCTGAGGAGTGAGGGAGACTAATTAACAAGTGGGGAAGGAAAACACACACTAAAGGAGACTAATACAATGAATAGCTGAACCTATAAAAAACTACAGAGGTTGACTTGGACAAACCTGAGGGAAACCGGGAGTGAGCTGGGGACAAAAAGGGGCACAGAAGACTTAGGGAAACATGATGGAAACCTGGAAGGGGCTGGGGACCGCTGGGAGGCACCTGAGGGGGGATGCAGACAAGGAAACACATGAGGAACACAAGGAGACACATGAGGGGAACCTAGAGAGGGATGGAGAACACAAGGAGACACATGAGGGGAACCTAGAGAGGGATGGAGAACACAAGGAGACACATGAGGGGAACCTAGAGAGGGATGGAGAACACAAGGAGACACATGAGGAACACAAGGAGACACATGAGGAACACAAGGAGACACATGAGGAACACAAGGAAACACATAAGGGGAACCTAGAGAGGGATGGAGAACACAAGGAGACACATGAGGAACACAAGGAGACACATGAGGAACACAAGGAGACACATGAGGGGAACCTAGAGAGGGATGGAGAACACAAGGAGACACATGAGGGAGACGCAGAACGTAGACCATGACAGTCTGGTCAGGATGTTCAGCTGGACGTCTTTGTTTACACCACTGCCTCCTGGGTAACTCCGTATCGGAAAGCTTTGCAAATATTGGCTCATCATTCTCAGACGTATTACAATTCCCGCTGGCAAAATGTATAGAACGAATATATGCGCACCCCTTGACCCGCATGCACACACTGTTAAAATCTGCTTTTCCACATAAATACCCTTTTGCTTTGTATGTCTTTAGCTCGGCTTGTTCACTTTACTGACGTCATATCACGGACCTTACCCGGCTTTGGAAAACGGATAATAAATGTCTCCTCCGGCATCCGATCTGGGTATTTGGAGCCTAATACTCTAAGTACTCTAAATGCAAAGTCTGCATCGATGTAGACTTCGGTGAAGTGCAGATCAAGGGTGCAAAAGGGGAGTGATCAACTTCTGCACTTGAGAATCGGGACACCCTACACACTTGCACCCCTGGTCGGGATCGGGCAATTAAAGGGCGCAAGGGTGGAAGTGCGAGTATTGGGATTGGGCCTCTGCGAACATCAGAGCGACTCAGACCCATAGGCAGCCATGCAAAAATCACACTTATTTGTCTTTGGTCACCAACTCCAGTCCTCGAGGGTTACCGTCCTGCACATGTTAGCTGTTTCTTTTCTCCTACATACCTGACTGAAATGAATAAGTAATTAACAGACCTGTTAAGGAGAGGATTAAATTACACTATTCATGTGTGGTAAAGCAGAAAAGACTAGCAGGATGGTAGCCATTGAGGACTGGAGTTGGTGACACCTGGTCTAGGGCTACATCCCACAATGTATTGCAATCTATGCTTAGCTACTGGAGAGTACTAACTAGTGTAATGCTTATTTACTAATAGAACACTGATAATCTTTGTTGTCAAAAAATAGTTTTAAGTGTCTTCTAATTATTATTGTGATGAAGAATGCTCGTGTCCTTTGACCCCTAAGCTATCTTTTTTGCTCATAGTTCACTACAGCTTATTTTGTTTATTTGCCAAAGAAACTCATGTGACCCTCCAGTGTTTACCATGCGAAGAAGGAAAATGTACAAAATTGAATTTTAAAGATGAAAGGTGCAAGAAGCAGGGGAAGTTAAATGGTAGGGATTGGACCTACCCAGCAGGCACTGTGGGTTTTCAGAAGTCCTGACACGAACAGACCAGTGAGGAGCTTGAAGCGGGTCAAGGTCACTGTTGGATCAATAAAACAGCAACAGGATAACATTATTTTAGTGCACGTACAAAGTCTGAAAACCTGAATGTCCACAGAGGAATAAGGAAACATTATTGCCCAAAATTGAACCACTTTGCTTCCATGGACCAATGCAGGGCTCACCAACTCCACCCTGCAGGTTTAACCCTGCTCCAACACAGGGTTTAGCAAGTCTCTGCAGGACTCCACAAGCTCACGGTTATTTGTTTGCCAGAAGCTTTTGTCCAAACTAACTTACAAATGAAGATCTAACAGTGCTGCCAGTTCACCTAACATGCATGTTTTCTGGTCTGCGGGAGGAAACTGAAGTTCCAGGAGAAAACCCACAAATGCATGAGGAACACATACTAACTCCACGAAGGAAGGCTGCATTCATGATTTCAGCAATCTTCTTGCTGCAACACAAGTGTGACAGAAAGTGCTCCACCATGCACTCATGGTTAGACAAGCACCCTCACTGCCGATTTTCCCCCAGTACATGAGTTAGCTATGCTTCTGGACAGTTTTAGACAACTTAGCTCATTTTCATCCAGTTGTATTTTACTCATTTTATCTTGTTTTACCGACATCCTTTTCTTTTGTTTCCTGTTTTTGTTTGTTTTTATGGATATTTTATTGTTGGCCATGTGTTTAAAATTGTTTGCACGAGTGCAGCGCTTTGGTTCGCCTCTTGGATGATGGACAGTGTTATACAAAATAAAGTTGATGATGATGCTTTGGGTTCTCCGTCGGGGAATATCTGACGGTGTGTGTGTGAGTGTGTGTGTGTGTGTGTGTGTGTGTGTGTGTGTGTGTGTGCCGGAGGATGAGTGTTGTGAAGGGGTTTTTACTGTCAGACGGTTTTAAACTCTGGGGATGGGAGGGTATGCGGGGCATTTTGAATTTGTTAAGCACTTTGAGTTACATTCATTGTATGATTAAATAACGTTTGAAGTTTGAAGAGACAATCCTAGAAGATCAGCAGTTTCTGAACTACTCAGACCAGCCTGTCTGGCACTGTTACGTCCGTAAGGATGGTTTTCTGTTTTTCTTTTAATCTTCTGTTTTGTATGTTAAAATGTAAATTTTAGTGTGTAGGCGACCTTCGGTAATTGGTGGAAGACGGCCATGAGGAGTTCCTGGGAAGAGCAGACCTGATTAGAAAGACCTGTTGTCGTGTCCTCCATTTCCTGCCCATGTCATGGTTTGTGCCTTGTGAAAGAACTAGAGTGACTTGTGTGAAACCCTTTGGAACTGGTAATTAGAGGATTGCTGGGCTGAACCTGCCCTTTTATTTAACCCTGTTTTCTCCTGTTTTTGTCAGCCAGTTGTGTTGTTATTTGGTTTGTTTAATTTGCAAGTCAGCTGGCTGAATGAAGTTAGAGGTATGTTTGTTTATTGTTCTGGCCTTGGTTCACCCTGAGCCTTTAAATCTTCCCTCAGCCTTAGTTAATCAATCGAGTCTTTTGTTTCTACTTTTGTAAATAAATTATTGTAAATAGTCCATTTTTGGTGATCACCCTTTCTGTTGGCTGGCCCCTCCTAGACAGGTCGTAACAGGCACCAACAAGCATGCCAAGTCACTGAAATCACCCTTCTTCCCTATTCTGAAGCTCGGTTTGAACTGCAGCAGATCGTCTCGACCATGTCAGCATGCTTAAATGCATTGAGTTGCCACCATGTTTGATGAATAATTTGTGTCAACAAGCAGTTGAACAGGTGTACCCAATAAAGTGGCCAGTGAGTGTATGCACTCAGTACTTGGTTTATGCTCTTTTGGTTTAACTGAAATAAATTAATTATCTTGTGATGAATCCGGTTTCACCTGTAGATAATATTTATGGCTCTTTTAAGGGATCTGGAGGATCTGCTTTACTAAAAGAAACCCGTACAGAGCAACACATTTCACTCAGTAAATAATCAGTGAATAATTATTCTGATCAATAATTCAACTCAAATGCATCAATATCCGTTTTAGTGTTGTGACTTCTGTTTAAATTATGAAATAATTAATTCCATCTGACATGAGTGGAAGACATTTAAAAGATCAGCATTTGTTCAGAAATACCACCATAGAACTGCTCATCTGTGCGTGTGCACGTGTGACCATGTAAAATGATCTTTAGGACGTACATAGAAAGCAAACAAATTAAATCCAAGGACAAAAAACTATGCACAGCGAATTTTAAACGTTCTTTTAAATCAACTCTATGGATAAATTACAACCAGGTATGGAAACTTGACCAAATCTCATCCAGGTGTCTAATAGATAAGTGTGTCCAGCGCTAGCCCTGAAGGTGCGACAGGGACAGACATTCTCACCTGTAGACATCATTATCTACAACTATCCCCTCTGTGAGGTGGAGCCAGGTGGCTGCCAGATGAAGCTCACTTTAAAAACAAAGGAAGGAAAAAAAAAGATTATTTTGCTTGAAGCCTGAATTATACTTCTGTCTGCGTGGGTATGGAGACACACACCGCGCAGGGGCTGACGGAGACATGCCCACATTTTAAATATCTGTCAAAGGCGATGGGGACCGCAAGCCCGTGATTGGCCAGGATGCTGCTTCCTTTAAATTTGTCAACAGGACCGCCATTGCCCCCTCAAAACATAATAACACATTTAGCAGCAGACACGGAACAGATTGAAGAACGCATCATGGAAAGTCAGAAAATATGGACGTTTATTCACCCGCAAGCATTTTACTGGTGGTCAGAAATGACGAGAAACGTGGGGTTTGGTGGTGCCGATCGCACGAAGAGGTGGAGGACAACGAGGGACAAATTTGTTCATGTTCAAAAGTCTCTGAACTCCATTAAAACTATGTAAACACAATAGTAGATACACTATCGTGGACCGGATGCGTGACTGTAATGGTGGCAGGGTACCCCAGAAAAGCGCTACGCCCTCTGTTGTCCTGGCAGGGAACTTCTTAGCAGCAATCCCAGCTGACGGAGAAGTCTGAGAGCAAAACATCTCCGTCAATGCGTGTGTGTCTCCCTTGTGGGGAGGCTGATGGAGAAGTATAAATCAGGCTTTACTCTAACTAAAACAATTCAAATCAACAAGCATAGGTACACCCACAAACACACGTGCACACACGCACGCACACACACACAATGCTTAAACCTGATTGGCTCTTCGCAGGCTCCAAATGGCAGGTTTCCAAACTCCACTCCTCCTACCTCACCTCCGAGGAGAGTATCAAAGTCTGAAATAATCCCAAACAAAATACATTCATTAGCCACCATGGAGGCTCATTTACAATATTCAGACCAACACTGTCATGGATGCATCCTTAAACAGAGTACACAGAGACCGACTGTTAGGGAAAAAGAAACTCTAGGGTACAGGAGACAGACCTGGTGGCTGCTGCGGCCAGATGGGCTGCTGCCAGTCTTGGAGGATGTAGGTAAAACGAATGGCGATGTCAACAGGAGGCAGAGGGAGCAAATTACAACCCTGACCAAGACAGAACACACACTATCAAAGCGTTGTTATCTGAGATTAATAATAAACGACCTTCACTTGTATAGCACTGAGTCAGATGTCTCCAAATCACCTAGTGGTCTGGATTATTCTTTGATCCGATGGCGCCATCTAGTGGCTGACAAGCATATCACACCAAGAAAGTGTTTCATGCTCCTCGTTCATGAACACACTCCTCTAGCCAACAAAACAGATCTAAAGCCCATTGTTTTGCATTTATTATGCTCATGTTAGGATGTGTTTGCATATATTTATACTTCAAACACTTGCGTGTCCATTAGTAAGTAAACTGTACTTCTATAGCACTTATCACAGAATCACAAAGTGCTTCACATAGATCAAAACAAAATAAAATATTAAGTCATAAAATCAGAAGATTCTCACAACAGAAACAGATTAACATCAGAAAAATAAAGTCACTATTTCATAAACTGATGAAAGATGATTACACATTTGAGTTCAAAATAAGAAAACAAAAGATTTAGTGAAAGCAGCTTTAAATAAACGGCTCTTTAGCCGCTTGGTTAGGGTTGGGGTTAGACAGGCCAAATCCGGCCCGCCAGACCTTTCAACCCGGCTCCCAAATATTACTGAATCAAGAGTGGAGGAAATGCATGTCCTACCTTTTCTCTATATCAAATTAAACTAACTGAAATCAGCATTGAATCAAAAACCAATACAAACTCATAGCCCTCGGTGAACTTTAAACTCAACAACACCCTCAGACAGAAGTTGGGCCATCCAAAAGACAAGACAGCCAAACAGAAGCTTAATGGCGTTGTTTATGCAGTCCAGTGCAGTGAGGACTGTCCAGATTGCTACAAAGGGGAAACCAAACCACTGCACAACACAGGAGAGCCACCTCTGCAGGTCAACACTGTGCAGTCCTCTTACACCTGAAGGACAAGAGACAGAGAAGGCCGATGGGTGGAGAGTAAAAGAAGCCATATAAGGCGAACAGAAAAAACCTACATTAAACAGAGGAGGAGGACTCGGGTTTCACCTCTCTAGTACATAAGCCTAATCCCCAAACGGTTTCAGCCCAGGTCACACCCTTCTGCTTCTAATCCATACAATCACACACATAGATAGTTCCCGCATGGCCGCTACTGCCTATGGGCGCTGACGAGCGGTGGTGCCGCCATCTTGGACCGGTTGAGCCCCCCCCCCCCCGGACAGAGACATTGAAGTGTCAGCATGTTAAATCAACCAGAACTCCTTGAATTCTGAACCAATTTTGAAGTGTTTTTTTCCCTGTAAACTTCACACATGTAGCTCTGACACAGGACACGTTTTAGTGTTTTTAATAACAGTGGGTTTGCTGTGGGTACGTAGGTTCCTCTTGTCAAGAGCTTAGTGTCATGGTCTGAGGTGAGCTCATCCTCTAATCAGCTTCAGCATTCATTCCAGGTGAGCGGGGTCTGAACGGGACCAGCTGCAGCAGATCCATCATCAGCCACTGCTGACTTAAAAGGAAGTGGAAGACCGCTGCCCAACACTGGTTGATTACTCCACACGGGTATGTCCAGCTGGAAACTCTCCTGCCACTCAGTCTCTAGGAAACTCTAGTCTAGTCTAGTCTAGTCTAGTTATACATTTTTGATCACTCTACCTGACATTTTGCACCTTGTTTTTCTCAGATCCTGCTCAACTTCACACCTTCAGCCATACTCCTGGACCTGACTTCAGCCTGCATCTTCCTTCCCTCAGTCCTTTCACCACCGTTCATCCACCCCTCTCTGGAACCCTTATCTCAACCACACTGGACACTTGGATCCTGCCACCTCAGACCTACAGTGGGGCAAAAAAGTATTTAGTCAGCCACCGATTGTGCAAGTTCTCCCACTTAAAATGATGACAGAGGTCAGTAATTTACATCATAGGTACAATTCAACTGTGAGAGACAGAATGTGGAAAAAATCCATGAATTCACATGGCAGGATTTTTAAAGAATTTATTTGTAAATCAGGGTGGAAAATAAGTATTTGGTCACTTCAAACAAGGAAAATCTCTGGCTCTCACAGACCTGTAACGTCTTCTTTAAGAAGCTTTTCTGTCCTCCACTCGTTACCTGTATTAATGGCACCTGTTTGAACTCATTATCTGTATAAAAGACACCTGTCCACAGCCTCAAACAGTCTGACTCCAAACTCCACTATGGCCAAGACCAAAGAGTTTTCGAAGGACACCAGGAAAAGAATTGTAGACCTGCACCAGACTAGGAAGAGTGAATCTACAATAGGCAAGCAGCTTGGTGTGAAAAAATCAACTGTGGGAGCAATTATCAGAAAATGGAAGACATACAAGACCACTGATAATCTCCCTCGATCTGGGGCTCCACGCAATTCTGTCTCTCACAGTTGAAGTGTACCTATGATGTAAATTACTGACCTCTGTCATCATTTTAAGTGGGAGAACTTGCACAATCGGTGGCTGACTAAATACATTGTTGCCCCACTGTGGCAAACCTCCCCACATACCATCAACCCAGCAGCACAGTAAGACCTCCACCTTCAAACCACCGAAACCTCCTACTAATCCAGACTCTACATGCAGGTCCAGTTCTGCCCCTCTCCCCTACATCTCCCAGTTTGGGACATCCTTAGTGGTGCACCGTTTAATAAAACCTTTAATTTTACTTGTCTCTTGTGTTGATTCTGCATGTCTTGGGTCAAGCACTTGAACCCCAACATGACAGGTTCTACTTATATTACATTATTCATGTGGACTCTGCAGGGATTGTTTAGAGCTGAGGCGCAGAGCTCTGATTGTTGATGCGTTCCAGACAGATGCGTCCTGAGCACGGCCACAGTAACATTATCAAATCAGGTGTCGCCACCTCAAAAACAAATTTAACACGCTATCGTTTGTCGGCTCATTTCCTTTAATGATTTCAGTCTTTTACTTGTGCCTCATGCGTTTCGCTGCTGCGGAGAGTATCACCTATTTGGTCCTCCGGTGACTTAAACACCGGTGCACACTCCGCTATTTTTGCTGTCGGTAGATCTTTTAGAACTGCAGTTCAAAGGTAACTCATGAGGTGAATATATACGAAGCCAGGCAGCAGTTTTTCTTTAGGATTGAGAGGAGATGCAGGAAGATAATAAACAGGACAGAAAAATATTCAAATAAAAACAAGTTAGTTTTTGTACCTGCTGGTTGCAAAAAACAGACACCATTGAAGGTAATCAGAAGTGAGGAACAAAAAATGAGTCTGACAATTATTTTAATGTTTAGAGCAGCAAGAACTCTGAGGCTGCAGGCGCATCAGTGAGTTTGCGGCCGCTGTGCAAGGGGGGGCTGAAGCAGGATGCAGAAACTGTTAAGAGAGACGTTTTACTTAGAAAATGTGGGCGCAATTTTAATTACTTGTCAACCCCCCTCACACCCACCCCGCCCTGCGTGTTCTTCATTAATAATGTAATATAAATAAACTACTTACTAATTAGTTATTATTCTTTAAAATAAATCAGTGACCTTGTGATAAAACCAAATATTAGCTAAAGGTCAAGGATTTGGAGGCTTTTTAAGAGGCGATCCTTTAAGGAAAGCCGATCTCTGGAACACACCCTTCACATTTATAACTCGTTCCCACGCATTAAGTATTTCATGACCACGAGTTAGTAACTCGTTCCCACACATTAAGTATCTCGTGGTCACAAGTTAAATTTTTTCCTCAATGTCACCAAATGGGCACCGAAATTTTGTCACAATTCTGTCCTGGGTTTTCACTATAAATCAATAAAAACAAAAACATCACAAAAAAACACTTAAGGTCAAGAAAATTGAGATTTAGCAATTCAATGATGCGTCTATCTTATTTATTGAAAAATATTGGTGTCAGTATCAGTATCGGCGATACTGGAGCAATAAAAATACGTATAATATGTAAATATCACTGACGAAGTGCATTGTCCTTCATGTTGAATTTATTGATAAACAATAGAGGATCAAATACATCTTGCACTGAGGGGAGGGAAAATACTGTGATAATGTTTAAAAACCAAATGTCGTCGTCGTCTTCCTCCGCTTATCCGGGTCCGGGTCGCGGGGGCAGCATCCCAACTAGGGAGCTCCAGACCGTCCTCTCCCCGGCCACCTCCACCACTGCTCCGGCAGGACCCCAAGGCGTTCCCGGACCAGATTGGAGATGTAACCTCTCCAACGTGTCCTGGGTTGACCCGGGGGCCTCCTGCCGGCAGGAAGTGCCTGAAACACCTCCCCAGGGAGAGGTCCAGGAGGAATCCTGACCTGACCTCAACTGACTTCTTTTGATCCGGAGGAGCAGCGGTTCTACTCTGAGTCCCTCCCGAATGTCCAAGCTCCTCACCCTATCTCTAAGGCTGAGCCCGGCCACCCTACGGAGGAAACTCATTTCGGCCGCTTGTATCCGTGATCTCGTTCTTTCGGTCATTACCCAAAGCTCATGACCATAGGTGAGGATTGGGACGTAGATCGACCGGTAAATCGAGAGCCTGGCTTTCTGGCTCAGCTCCCTCTTCACCAAGACAGATCGGCTCAGCGACCACATCTCTATAGATGCCGAACCAATCCGCCTGTCGATCTCCCGATCCCTCCTACCCTCACTCGTGAACAAGACCCCGAGATACTTAAAACTCCTCCACTTGAGGTAGGACCTCTCTCCCGACCCGGAGTTGGCAAGCCACCCTTTTCCGGTCGAGAAGCATGGTTTCAGATTTCAAACTCGGCTGCGAACCTACCCAGCAAGAGCTGAAGGTCAGAGCTGGATGAAGCTAGGAAGACCACATCATCCGCGAAAAGCAGAGATGAGATTCTCCTGCCATCAAACCTGACACACTCCACACCACGGCTGTGCCTAGAAATTCTGTCCATAAAGGCAATGAATAGAACCGGTGACAAAGGGCAGCCCTGGCGGATTCCAACCCTCACCGGGAACAGGTCCGACTTACTACCGGCTATGCGGACCAAACTCACGCTCCTCTGGTAAAGGG